GATATATAAGTTCATTCATGTGTTTATCTGTAAGTACAGTCAAAGTTATACTATAATATAACAAACATTTATACTATACTACACTATATTCATAGATTTAGCGATAATTTTATTGTTATATAATATAGTAAAGATAACACCAAATTAGGTACTCATTGATGTTATGTTTGATATGTTTTAAGTTGGATTTGAAAATCAGTAAACTATCTCATGTTATAATAAAATATTATATAATGATGTGCTCTATAATTGTTTGGTTCGGTCAATGATCTACTAAATTGTAAAATGTATTATAATTTTCTTATAGTTTGTTAGTTGACTTGTACTGTGATTATATAATTTCATCACCTTTTCAAAGCACTGTTGGGTGTGTCAACTGTTGTATCCATCAATGTATTGTCTCATTTGTGACTTACTTTTTTAAATGCTATAATATATGCACACATATTCATCAAAAACCATTAGGGATTTCTGCCAACGCGTTGTTTGCTAACAAAAAGTATTGTTTTTTATTGTTTCACAAATATAGTCAATTAGTTTTATATTTAATTATTTAGCATTTATTAGAATGAAATGTATTTTATTTATTACTTTTTTCTTGTGGTTTTATAGGTATTATATTTTTTTATTTTTAATATTTTCTTATTCTTCTAAACTAAGATTTAAAATTTAATGGCAATTAATGGACAGTTAATAGCATTTTTAATGTTATACAGTAATAACTATTATTAGTTAATATTTATTATATTTATAGCATATTTATAAGTATATTTTTATTAAATATTACTATATTTTATATGAATTTGTTTCATTTTTAATGATATGTTAATCAATTAATTAGTTGAATAAAATTATCAAAAAGTGATTTATTAATTATTTTATTTTTATTAATGTTTATAATTTATATTAACGCTATTACATTTAGGTTATAAAAATAAGATATTTATACAATAATTAAAACTCTATTTAAATATGATTTTTAAATTTCTAATTCTTTAAAATTATTTTTATTTTTAACTTTAGTATTTAATTTTTAGTGATAATTTAAACCACGTTTATCCCAATTTATAACACATTTTGTTATAGCATCTAAAACAATAAAAATTTCATAATTATGAGTTAGTTTTATATTCACAGTAAAACATTTTGTTAGTACTGTTAAGAAATTTTATTTATTATATCGTTATATAATTATGAAAATGAATTTTTAAATATATATTTTTTAATTTAGAAGATTTAAATTTGTTTTATTTTTAATTATAAGTTTAAAGTTTTTATATATTGTTCCATTTAATGTTATTACATTGTAAAATAAATTCTTTAAAATTTTACAATAACTTATTATTAATATTAATAACCAAAATTAATTATTGAAACATTATTTTAACAAAATATATAGAATATTTTAGCTAAAATAAAACAAAAATTTTGAGGCAAAAAAACAAATTGCAGGTTAATATTGTGTGCAAAAATACGATACACTTGTTAAGTGTGATTAACATTATGAGAGTGTTTTATGTGTAAAAGCTATGAACCATTAATAAAATTCATTGAAAGTGATTGCTAAACAAGCGAAACCACATGAGATTAATATAATTAAACAATTTTTGCTATGAATTACTGTGAATACCTATACATATAACTGGTCGTTGATTTACAAGTTTTACGAAATATTTGCTTTTATATAAAGTATATTTAGTATTATTGTAGTAATAATTTTATAATTATTTATATATTTTATTATTTAAATTTAATTCCAGTTTTCTACGAGATTATAGTTTCATGTTATACCAAAACACAATACATGAGATTATTAAAATGGTAACAATTTTTTATGAAAATATACTTCAAAAAATTATTCATAATTTTATAAATAACACGTTTCGATGATAACAATAGCTGTTGTTTAACAAAATTTGTTAAGTGTTTTGATTATATAAATGTTTGGTCATATTTTTGGTTTTGGTTTGGTTAGTTTTTTTTAAATTGAATATGAAATTACTTCTGTTAAAAAAACTATTAAAGTGTTAATTATAAAATTATTGTATTATAAATCTATGATATAATAATTCAAACAAACAATACATCTTAAAAGTCTAGTGTTTATCGGTCATCCATTTAGTTGTTATTTCATACAATCCATACTATTTGTCCCAACTTTTAGTCTCTCATATATACAAAAAATGCTTAATCTTAATGTTAAAAAGTGATCATTAGTTAAAGGTATCAAAATTGTATAATAATGCGCTAAACTTTTTTTTGAAAAAATATTATATTTAATACTAATGCCATCATTTTAGCAATTTAGAGTAAGTAAATATTTTTTAATGTCATATATTTTTTTGAATAATATATTTATATTGATTGAATATAATCTACATTTTTAATTTAATAAAAATTTAAATACAATCCTATAATTTATACGAAAGTTCTAACTTTATGGCTATTGACCTTAAGTTTTACTATAATGCATAATATAATGTAAATTATAGATATTTATGACAATATATTTAAATTGGTTTTTTAATAAAAACTTTAAATATAATGTTATAAGTTATTACTTTAAATCATTACAGAAAGTTTTATATAAAAATTAGTATCACGAATTTTGTTACAAATTTTATATTTAACTTGTTATTTTGAATTTTAAAATATATATAAATAGTTGTATAATTTTTAAATATTTTATATATATAAATACGTATTGTATATATATATATATATATATATAATAAATATTTAATATTATAATAAAACAACTTTATCTTGTAGATTTAATAAAAATTATATTATATACTATGAATATTTACTATTACAATACAGTATTGTTAATATTGTTAAAATTGCATTAATAGTTTTGTTTCAAAAACTATTATACAATAGATTTTATATCTCAACGGATCGACCATTTTTGATATAAATCTATTTTTAATAATATTGGCTAAAATTATACAATTATATTATTTACCAGTCAGTTGTCTGGAAATATATATCTTATGATTTTAATGATATTAAGTTTGACTTAAAAATATTAATGTGAATAATATACCGTTATTTATACTAGTTTTAAAAAATTTAAATAGAGATTGTAATAGACTTTTTAAAATATAGTCCAAATTATCAATGAAGTATTAAAGCGAATGATCTAATTTTAGTAATCATAATAACAATTCAAATATGTTTTGTTATAATGGATGCAATTGACTGTTAAGTTAGATTTATCTCAACAATCTTTAACTTAAAAATTGTTTGGTCAAACATTGAACATAAATTTATAGGTCATATACACACCTATTACTATTACACCATATATTGTACAGTATTGTCATATTTATTATTTGAAAGCGTTTATAAAATATTAGGATTCACTAAATTACAGGTATGTATAGCAACTCGTTTACTAACATTAATACTGTAGTCACTAGTGTAGTACCATTTTGACCAAAAGTATACATGCCTTTCAATAAATCCATTAACGTTTTTATAACTACATATCATTTTTTATACATTACAACAATTTTTTTATTTATATTATATTATTAACTAAAATATAGTAATTTTTTGAAGATTCAAAAAACAAGTTTATTTAACATAATTGAGATAAAAGTACTTTATTTCCATATTATTATTTTGTATTAGATTTAACTTAAATTGTATATCCAATTAATAAAAATTATATTTTATTAATGACAATCTTTTTTCGTTATTTTAAAAATGTTTGTTGGTTAACATTATATAAATTATAATATAATGTATTAATATAATAGTATATAATATTTGTGTCTATATTGTATATCAGTTTAAATATTGAAGAACTTTAAATAAAGTGCAATAAAAGTTAAATTACAGACAATTATATAATAAATCAAATAAAACAGATAAAATAAAAATAGTTTAAAATGTGGTAAATTAAAAAAGTAAATTTAATATAATAAATAACACGAAATATTTGATTGTAATGAAAGTCTAATGCTTTTCACGCTTTGCTTTTACTCATCACTGCTTCATATATGAAGCAAAACAATGTAACGCTATATTCAATACAAATACAGTATATAAATATTTTTACTAATGATTACATATTTTTATAAACGATTGTGTGATAAACGAAATCCTAGATATGTTCTGCAATTTAATGCTTTAATTTTTAAATCAAACAACTGTTGCAAACATTGATATTTTTATCCAATTGACGACAATTAAAAAATTATAGTATTAAAAATGTCAATAAAAAGTGTTTATGATATGACTTTTATAAATATATAATTATACATTAATTCTCTAATACAAGTTTTGTCTAATCATTCACAGTTAAAATTATTTTTATGTAAAAAATGCTGTAATATTTTTTATTAATTAAAAATGATTATTCAAAACCATTAGTTTGAAATGTTTTAAACAAAAAAGTATTGAATGGAATAAATTGTATTTTTGTTTAGTTTTTATAAATTGTTTAAAATTAGTTCATATTTATATTCACACAACAGATTATATAATATAAATATTATTTTTAGATTATAATAATATAATTATTTGTGTATTTTTATACTAAAACACAAACACTTTAACACTCATATTGAAGCACTGTATTGAAGGACATTAAAATTGTGTAACAATTTATAAATTTTTATAAAAATACGATTTTAAATAATATAAAACATATTTATATATTAATATATGGAGAGTATGTTGTATTTGTTATCATTTTTTTGACAATTCATTTATTAAATATTATTAATTTCTAACACAACAAGTGTTTTGGAATATGACAATTGTATTAAAATAAAAATTGTTAAAATTTGTTTCTTAATTAAGTGAAATATATTGTTATATTAATTTTACATGTAATTCACATTAAGTGATTTTATTATAGTTTTTTTTATTATAGCCAATAGTATCAATAATTTAATCAAATTAAATTTATTTTTAAATATTTAAAAATTATTATATAATAATATATTTGATATTTTAACTTACTTTAACTTATATTGACTTATTAGGTGAGATTCAAAGTGCCAACAGTTGTGAACAATCGATTGATAGGAGCAATGATTGTGATGTTGTTGTGGTTGATAATAATGTAGTCAATAGTGAATGCATTAAACAATTATTGACTGAAAGCAATCAAACAGAAAGTTCATTGCAATCAAAGGCAATAACTATTAGCGGAACGGAATCTCAAAGCCATTCATCAGAAGATTCAAGTGATCAACAAATACTAAAGCAAAACGACGAAAGTCATCGACAAAAGCTTAACTTAATTGAATGCTCTGCTAATAGACATACCATTGCTGACGATGACAATCATATTGTCGTTGACAGCAATGACTTAAAACAACAGCATTCATCTCAAGACACTTCATCTGATGATACTCTTTGTCAAGATTTAAGTAATCAACAAAATCAAGAAAGTAAGTCATCATTTGATTTAATCATTTATTTGATTTCAAATATAACGAAATTCCGTATTTCAATAATATTATATCTTTAATAAAAACTTGAAAATTGACATTATTTCAAAAAGCTTGCAATAAATATGTATATTTCATGTTAACTATTAATAAATGTATGACAAATTGATTATACATTAATATAATTAAAATTTTACATATAACTAAATCTGATTATTTATATTTGCTATTAATGTTTTAACTATTTAAGTTTTTTATTAAATATATATTAATTTATTATTTCTATATTATGCATAAATATTATGCAAACTATATTAAAAGTTTATAATATAACAAATTTTTCTATCTATATAGCAATTAAGGTTTTGCTAAATAAAACCATTACTGTATTTATAGATAATAATAGTTTAGTTTATTACAACAATTAAAATGTATAGTATCAGTCAAATTGTACAAATTATATAATATTTATCTAATTTATATTACATTTATTATTTATTGTTTAGTACATTTACTAAAACGAATTTTAAATATTTTTTTATGTTTTTTACATAAATACATATTTCCTTATTATTTAAAAAATATTTGATAATAAATAATTTTCACGTTTTGTCACTCTAACATATTTTTATATTAAGTTATTTAAATTATATAGAAATTGTTTTAATTAAAGCATAATATTTTTTTCAAATCGATTAATTTTAAAAATGATATACTAAATGTTTGATCTTTTAACTTATATGCAATATTTTTTTTTAATAAATTGTCATTAATCGTGTTTAAATAGATAATTACAATAAATTATAATTTAACTTAATTTTAAATAAATAAAAATACATAAAAATATTTTGTATATCATTGCATATTTTATATCATAAATGAGGCAAATTTCTAGTATAACTTGTTATACTGTTTGTTATTTATACTTTTTATTATTTTTATAATTTATTTTTTTATTATTTTTAATAATTTATTTTATATGTCAAACATATTTTTATTTACAATAAAGTATCTAGTATATGTTATTATAGTATATAAATTAAAATATGATTATTATGTATATTACGTAAGTAAAATTTATTTATTTATTGAATTCCTTAATTATATGATATTAGCAATGTTTTATTGATAATTTCATCAAAATTTTAATTATAAACTTGAATTTGTATTTCGATTTAATATCATAAATTTATTTTAAAGTTAGTTATTTTATATTTATCTAAATACAAATTTAATTTAATTCAGTTTATAATTATATATAATATAATATACCTAATAAGTATTACCTATACAATATAATATATAACTGCTTAATAGCTATGAAAATAAATTGATTACAATTTTTATAAACAGGAATTTTGGATAATTATTTGACATAAAATGTGAAAAATCACATCTAAGACTATGAATCATATATAATAGTCTAAATATGTAGATATTATGTTGACTGGTATACAGTATATTTAGTAGATTAAAATGCAATATCTTATTATTATAGATTAGTAATATTATATCAGGTATTACTGTAAAAAATAAAAGATTTATGATTAAAATATTATATTTTGCGAATACTTGATATTTATTGCATGAAAATTTGTTTTTTAAGTTTTATACGAAAATTAATAATAAAATATCTATATATTTACAAAAATAACATAATAAATACATTATATTCTTGTGATATCAGTTTTCTATGATATCTGTTATCTTTGTGTTTCCAAAGTTACCGTATTTTTGATATTTTATGAATTTTCAATAATTTAGTCAATTGATTTTTAAAGGAAAAAATATATTTAAATTCATTTAATATACTATTAAATTTTATAATATATACTGTATATATTAATTAGAGATTATTTTTATTTTTAAATTTCATTGTAAACGATTTTTATTACGAATTTTAATAGAAAATATATTATTTATAAATACCTAATTATTGTAATGTTTAGGAATATAAAAACTATATTATAAATAGCGGTTATTGATTGCAGATATTTGTATTAATGTTAATAAATGCAGTAAATTGTATGAAATGTTTGTCTATAAAATTATTATAAATTAATAATTTGATTGATTGCTTCTCTAAAGTGCAAAAATGTGTTAATTTGAATTTATTACACTTTTATGATTCATAAAAAAAATTCAATTCAATTTACAGTAATAGCAGTATTTAAATGTTTATTGAAATATATTTATTATAATATATTATTTTTATATTTTTAAAAATCAGTTAAATGTGATGAAGTAAAAGAAGATCAAAGTGAAGAACAAAACATGAATCGTATGACGAAATCTCGTGACAATAATTTGTTGGCCACTTGTTTGCCGCCGACATATGCTCGACAACCGCCCGACGGACGAGAAATTACATTGAATTATATGGACTCGAAAAATGTGAACAACACTAATAAGATGTCATCACTTTCTTGTGATTATTATGCAACTACTCCTCTGATACACGAAGATTCAGGTGTTTTCATAGAGACTGACACTCCGAGTCCCGAATTGGAGTTCACATCAATAAACAAACAAATAGGACCCGGGCTGTCCAGTATTGCCGTAACTCGAATTAAATATAAGTTAACCGGTGATCACTCTGATGCAGACACCGGCGACACTGGCATAACATCAATGTCTTCAGATTCTATGGATGAATTGGATTCATGTCCGTCACCTAATTATCACATTAAGAAACATATATTAGATAAAAACCGTAATCCTTCTTCCGATTTCCAATCGGAAACGGCAATGAATGGACAGACAAACGGAAACTGCAAAACAGATAAATGGTCTGAAATGTCAATTAGTTTCAGAGAAAAGATTGCAATGTTTGACAATCAGAACCAAGAAGTTATTGACGAATGCGATGATAAAGAAAATTTAAAAAATGGTTCATCTCTTAGAAATGACTGCTCTTTAAATAATAACTCTTTTAATTACGAGTTATCGTCATTTAATGAGACCAATGATATCAAGACTGACGGATTTTCATCTAATTTATTGGATTCAACACAAAATAAACAAAATTTTATCGATAAAAGCATTGATTCGACACATAATGTATTCACAACAAAGACTTCTTTCATACATAAAAAGTCTTCATCTCTTTCCTTATCATCAGATAATACACAACAAAACATGTGTTCTGTTCAATATAGCGGTCATTTACAGCCATCATATGTCAGATATTCCAGTTTAGGATCTAATACCAGTGACTCTTCACAGCAGAATAATACAAATACTACTAATAATACTTATTCTGGTATTGGAGTCCACAAACCTTTATTGAATGGTTCTCTTTTGTCATCGATATTAGAAACACGAAAACAAAATGCATCCAAACTTAAAGGTTTAGTAATACCAGACGTTCCGACCACAACACAGCCGGCTGTTAGTAAAGCACTTCCAACTATTTTTAGCAATACAACTACCAGTTCTTTACTTATGATGGCCAAACCAGAGGAAGTAAGTACTTTGACAACAAAGAGTCAAACACAGAGTCAACCAAACATTGCAGCAAACTTTTCCCTTCAAAGACAAACATCTCTTTTATCAGAACAGTGGGCAGACAACGCTTCAATACCAAAATATTCGCCGGCATTCAAGCGCCGTCAGCTAGAAATGCCTCATTCACTGACACAATTAAACAATGTCTCACAAGACACCACCGACTCATTAACCTCGAGCTTCAATCGTAGTAATTCAATGACAGGACAGGACCAACAATTTCAGTTTTTATTGTCACACAGTAAGCCAGTCATACATTTAATGCCAGAAACAGCTGTCGGTTCCTCTAATATCGATGGCACCAATAGTACAATGAATACCTCTTCACTTGAAGAACAGTTAGCCCAGAGTTTTAGCGATACATATAGACATTCATCTATTCAAAGAAGATATTCAGCTGATGTTTTTAATTATAGCAATTCATTAAAATATTCATTAGAAAAGAGACCATCAACTGATTCAACAACTGATAAAACTATTTTTAATCCTATAATGCAATCATCCGCTGGAAATGGTTTTAATAATACTATCATTAATACAAATAATAATTATTTTGAAAACACAGCCAAACCTCCACTTATTGAACAAAAAAGTTCTCCGATTTATAGTTCAAAAAATGAATATCTATTACATAAAAGTGTCTTAAATTACAATACAACTAAAACATTTAGTTTGAAACCTAATAAGTATGAGAAAAATAGTCATCAAAATTCAAGCAAAAAATTATTTACAAAAAATATTTATAATTCTAATTTCAGTGACGACGACTCATCGACTAAAAGTCATAAAACATCTGAAGACTTATTTAATAGAGTGGATGACTCGGCCTTTGATACGACCTCTGATTCTATGGACCAGACATTAAATCAAGAGCTGACACATCCTAAGGTGTTGGGCACACAACTGACTGTTTTGAAGAATACATTGGAAAATGACAATTTGTTGGTTCAAAATGATAGTAACTCGGAATCAGTTAAGAACTTTAAAGCATTGGCAGAACAATGGGAACAGAGAAGTGGTAACGAAGGTATGATACATAGTATTAGAGGCTCTGCACCACCACTTCCTCCTAAGCCTAACACTTCATTAGTAAGAATGCCCCCGTCTTTAATGCCTAGAACTAAAAAATTGCTTCAAAACAATGATCTAAACTTACAAAAAGCTTTTGATATGTCTAACTGTCCAAAGATATTAAATGATATAAAACAAATAGAGACAGCACTTAAAGAAATGGATTTAATCGATGAGACAGACTCTCTCAAAACAACAGTACCTGAAATAACATCTGAAACTATTTCTCCTATTCTTTCGGACAACACTTCTGATAACTTAAATAAAACTTCAGTTTCCGTGACATCAAACAGAAGTGTTAGTGATATCTGTAAAGTGTTTGAGACTAACGTCACCGATAATACCTCAGCTGTAAAAACAAAAAGTAACTCAAATACGAGTTTAAATTCACTTAAAAATTTAAATCAAAATGAATCGCAAAATATCAGTAATATTGAAATTGAAATACAAAAAGTTGAATCAAGTTCTGAAAGTGAAGACCAAAATATTCATCCAATTAATGGTAATGAACCAAATGAAACAAATGAGAAAAATAAGAAAATATCTGAAGATAGACTTAATGTTTGGGATAAAGAAACAGTTGTCGGAAATCATAAGAGAATGTCATCCATGGATTCATTGGCCAGTGATTCTGGAGCCAGCAGTTCTGGTACTGCAATTCGTTCACTTGGACAGAGAGCCAGCTCTATCTCAAATCTAAGAGATTCACAGTATGGCTCTGTATCGTCATTGGCTTCTTCAACAAGTATTATATCACCACAAGAATTGCAACAATTGATTGATGAGGCGAACCAATCACTTGAGTCTAATGACATTAATAACCATAATATACAAGTTGTTGTTCTTCATCGCGAATACAAATCCAGTGGAAGTATTGGTATAACACTTGCAGGCGGTTCTGATTGTGAAACAAAAGAGATTACTGTATGTATTAAATATTACAATACTTTTAATATATTATAAGAATTAAATATAATATTATATTTTGAATGATTAGGTCCATCGGGTTATTAAGGGTAGTCTTACAGATCGAGACGGACGTATCAAACAGGGAGATCGCATACTATCTATAAATGGTTTGTCTTTATATTTGTAATCTCTTTATTAAACTTGTGTTAAATACATTTGCATTTTTAAAATTAGGAAAAATATTAAAAGGTGTCACTCATAAGGAAGCGTTGGATATAATGAAATCTCCTCGACCTGAAGTGGTCATTGTGTTGTCCCGATTAAATCTTAACCTATTATCTGACAATGGATTTCATTCACGACAGAGTAGTGCCGATTTGAATGATTCGACTACCGGTGCCAACACATACAACACTTTTAACGATGAAATTTCATCTATGAATCGAGATTCTGATAATAGTTGCGAAACAGGAAATTATAGGATATTACGGGCAGAACTTCACAAAGATGTGGCCGGACTTGGATTCATATTAGAGGGCGGAAAGGATTCACCAATCGGTGATCGACCGCTTGCTATCAAAAGGATATTTAGAGGTAAATGAAAATTTTTATTCAATTTTTTGCTCTAAATTTTAACAAATTTGTGTCATTCAGGCGGTCCGGCAGATAAAGAAGGAACTCTTGTTTCTGGAGACGAAGTTCTGACAGTTAACGAACATTCGGTCGCAAATATGACCCGAACTGAGGCCTGGAATTTCCTTAAGAAATTACCCGAAGGACCGGTAATTTTGGTGATCAGAAGGAAGAAGTATTAAAATATATGTATCATATTATATATTGATATGATATTGTGATATCTTTCACAAATGTTAACATTTATACCGGTATTGATATGCATAGAGTAGTTAAATAAAGAAAGCTGTGATAATTTAAATTAAATCACAATAACTTATTTTGTAAAAAATGATAAATATATAAATAATATTTTAATTATAAAATTAACTCAATGTTAATAACGAGTATAACTAATTATAATAGTGATACATATTTTGGTGAGTTATATCATATATAATATAATAGTTAATTTCCAAACTAAGAGTTTTTATTAACTTATTGTTATAGCGGTTATTATATCTTTTAGTAATTTAACACAATATACCCAATTCTAATTAAATCAAACGTTAATTAATCATCGGTATATATATATATATATATGACATCTCAAAAAATATATTTATTTTAAATAAAAAGTAAAATAATTACTAAAATATTGCATATTTAAAAATTATTACTTATGAAACTAAAATTAATTTTGTTGACATATTATAATTTATATTTTATTATTTACAGTTTTTAAGAAAATTTTTAATAAACAAGTCGTGTGTCCTATAAATTATTACTTTTAGTTTACATCAGTTATATAATACCTGTAATATCATAGCTTAAACTATATTTGCTTAAATGTGAGCCAATATATTGAAATATTGTTTAAAACAAACTTAAAACCAAATTAATAAATTGACAAAATATATACTTAATATAAGTCACATTGAAATTTATTTTTATTATTATTTAGAAAAGAGTTAATATAAAAATAATATAATGTTATAATTAATATAAATGATAATTAAAAAAAATTGTTAAATAATATCAATACAAAATGAGTCAAACATTAATGACAAATATATCTATTGTTTTTAATTCAGTTTATTTATAAATTTATTAAATAAATAAATTTATTGTTACTTAAATAATAATTAATATAAAAAATATATACTATTAACAATAACTATAATTATACCATATAAACGATTAAATATATATATATATATATATATTATTTATTCAATATACAGTAATTATTATTATTATTATTATTATTATTATTATTATTATTATAAGTTACTGTATTTATTATAAAACTCATAAATGATAACAATTTTCATAGAGTTTAAACCTAAATGAGTTCAAAAAAATATTGAGCTATTAATATAATATTATTTCATATCATTTTTGTTAATATGTTTTTAATATTATTATTTTTATTGTCCTAAAATATTTTTGTTTATAATTGGGTTATTAATTAATTAGTGGTTAACTTCATATTAAAAAACTGCATAAATATTGATAATATAAAAATAAATTATAATTAAATGATATGAATAAAAATCATTTGTTAATTACTTTTTGTAGATTTTGTTTGAAATTTCAATAAATATTAATACATTTGAATAGACTGTGTATTACTTTATACATATCAATGACAGACTCATTGCATAACATTTGTATTTGTTTTATAGAGTCATAGCTTTTGTTTACATAATAAGTAAATAACATGTGATTTATGTAACAAAACAATAATTATTATACAGAAAGACAGTCATCGGTGGCTAAAGTGATACTATAAGACATGTCATTGATTAAGAAGATATCTGTAGAGCCAATTGCATTGCTTTACATGTTTGCCATATTTGGAGAATTTACATGTCTTCAGGACATGATTTTCATCAAATCATGTCTTAGTTATTTGGGATCCAATAACTGTACGATCAATAAAAGCATTGAATCTCAAGACTTGATTCAAATTGAAGCAATAAGTAGTCAACAATTGCTTTATTACAACACATTATTGGCGATGACATCAATCTTGAGCTCATTTATTGCCGGTTCTTATGGTGACTCATATGGACGAGTAATACCTCTTTTATTACCGCCGATGCTGTCATTTGTTGTGCAAATAATTTTAATAATTAATACATATTTCAATACATTAGTCTTAATAATGATATGCGGAGTATTGTCCGGTCTATCGGGTGGTTCACCGAGTCTTTTGGCCAATTGTTTTGGTTTTATATCAGACATTACTCATACAAATAACCGAACCATACGTTTAATCATATTAGAGGCCAATCTATTTTGCGGCGCTTTCGTCGGTTATATAATAACTGGTTTTATACTCAAAAAATTTAAATTTTATAAATATCTCATCTGTTTTATTATATTTTTAAGTATCCATTTATTTATTATCATTTATATTATTTTAACAATAAGACCGATGTCTTCAAAAATAGTTAGTGAAAGACATGCTTCACATATAAATGAAAGACAATTAAATGACAAAAACATATTTAAAATGTTTGTCGATGTAATCAAAACTGTATTTAGAAGAAGACAATCAAATAACCGCAAAATTATTATTTTATTGATAATAACTTTTATTGCCGTTAGTTATGCCACAGAAGTACTCCAGAGTTTACTATTTCTTTATGTTCACAACCGACCACTTGTTTGGGATACAACTCTGTATGCCTACTATAGTGGTCTCAAATTTGGTGTCACAGGTCTGGCCTTATGTTTGCTTCCTTTAGTGCAATATTATTGTTGTAATAACATTAGTGACACAACCGTAGCAATTATCGGTATCTTTTCACGAACTCTTGGGTTAATATTAATTGGTTTATCCACTAATATATATGTCATGTTTTCAACAATCATTTTATTAGTCTTCTCTGAATATCCATTGCCTGCCATCCGATCACTTCTTTCAAAACTAATAGAAAGTGATGAAAAGGGAAAAGTTTTTGCATTTTTAACACTTTTTCACAATATATGCACCCTTTCCGGTGCAATACTTTTTCCAATTATCTTCAAATATCAGATTCAAAATAATGCTTATTCTGGTCTTTGTTTTCAAGTAATCGCTTTCATACAAGTGCTGGCAATCATTATCTTTATGTAATTATTGGATATTTTACGATAATTTAATAAATAATTTTTAAGCTATTTTATCATTCTTTAGATATATTCGTTATGAACTCAAGACTGCGGTTATTCAAAGTAATGAAGAATCTAATGAATCGGATGAGACCAATGATATTAACACACTTAACAATAGTGATAATGAAACATAAATAGTCTATCTTTTGGATTTAATTTTCTATTTTATATAAATTACAAAATAAAATCGATGACAAAAACCATTGACTGATTTTCTCTCTAATAACTTACGGTAATTGTTTAGAGAGGATAATATATTATTAGTATTATAAAAATTTAAAATAATAATAGTGAATTGATGTTTTACTTAGATTTCAATATATAGTTTTTAGTAATAATTAAATAGAAAATACAACTCAAATAACATAACAAAAACATGAGATACATTATATGGTAATTAAGTTAATAATTGTTTCAAAGCTCGGAAATCAATATTAAATAACCGGAAATATGAAAAAACAAGAAAAATAATTTCATTTGAGATAATGTTTTCAATTGAGTTAATACTACAAATAAACTACAATTGGGATCAGCTATTGATTGGTGTTTGACGTGTCGTTGCATTTCTTCCTTTTACGTGCCGTTTGTGACTCATTCTCATCGTTGGTCTCTCTTTTCTTCAACGCTTTCTTTTTGTCCCACTGTTGGTGAAGATATCGTAACAATATATTTGTCTTCTCTGTTGTTATTACTATAAAACAAAAATATAACAAAAATATAACAATTATCACATCATATCATCAAAATGTCAAATTAAGTCATCAATACTTTGCTCTGACGGGTGATCTTTAGTGGGAAGATATACGGATGGCTTCTTTGATGAGGTACGACATCCCTCTGACTGGAAACGACTGAAATTCAGTTCATCAAAGACTGGCAATCCTTTGAGGAACTCTGGCGTCGACTAAACGAAAGACAAAAATATTGTCATTAATTGATATTTCATTTAATAAATTCATTTTTCTTATAAATTATTCATTAAATTATTAATACAAACAATAATAATAAACATTTAAATGAATAATTATTTTTTAAAAATAACAACAAATATCATACAAACCATTATTTTGATGACAACTTTAATGGCAAATGATATCAAACCAATCAATCAGTTGATGTGATATGAGTTTAGTTATCAATTAAAATATCAATCAATCGATGAAAATATGAGATAACAATTGATGGCATATAATGAATGATAATTTGAGCAAAAAATCATCGGATAATTAATACCAATATTATAATCAATTCAATCATTTCTATGATGTGCTCAACACTATTGCATTGCATTCACTAAATACAGTCAATGTGTGTATAATATAATATAATATAATATAATATAATATAAAGTACTGTAAGTTATATTGTATTCAAACGATACACACATCACGTCATGTGTTGTTTACACAACATTTGACACGCATTTCATTATCACATGTAATGTATAGTCAATAAGGTTTTAATAACTTTTTTCATCAATAATTAAATCTCATTTAATAGCATTATATTAATATTAACAATAACATTGATTTATGTCTATTAAATACATAATGTTTATGTTATTGTAATTATCATTCATTACAATCACAATTATAATTACAATTTATATTTTAATTATTGCCTAAATAAAGTTACTCTAAAATTGGTGATAAATGATTAACTATTTAACTAAATGTTATAATATTTATAATAATGATATTAAATTATATAATATTTAAGAAAATAATATAAAATACAATTTCAAAGTATTGAAGATATTAAAAGTATTAAAAGAAAGTCGGTTTTCAAATTGTTTCAGATTTAGAAAAACTTATAAAATTTGATATTAATTTAATTTAATGAAAGTATAGAAAACATATTGATTTATATGCCAATTGACTATTGATTTATGTTTCATCTAATAATTGTTCACCAATTTTGTGATAATAATTATTATAAGAATACATTAAAAAATTGAACATATTTTCAAAACTAATTTAGTATAAAAGCATATATTATAACATATTTTTATAATTTTGAGAATACTCTCAATTTTCTATTATGAATATTGTTTATATAAAAATAAAGCTAAAGTAATCTAATATTGTTGTGTTTGAGACCACTAGCTATTTATACTGTACTATATTTTACAATACAATACTGTAATTGTAATTAATTTTGTATTTTTATATCAAAATTATTTACTCAATGCTATTTTTGAAATCAATTGTTTTAATTGAATTTGTATCAATATTCAAATTTGTCAAATGACCCCTAAATCCCTATCCCATCCCCCCATTGAATCACTTGATATATTTGAACAAAATTTAAGATTATATTCATGAGTTGGTCTTCTAATTAAATGATTAGCATTTTCTACAAGTTATTACTGTATTTTTGATTTAACAATTATTTATCAAATTTATACAATAAGTTAAGTTAAATTTAATTGGGTTAACAATAATTTCAATTATATACATAAAGTGCAAACATATTTAATAATTTCTGTATTTAATAATGCTTTATAGTAAATAAAAGTATTATTATTTATTTATTATTAAAATATTTTAATATTGTTTGCATTGTATATTTGTAATTTTAAATAACTATTGAAAATAATAATAATAATATATTTTAAATAATTCTTAATTATATAATAAAATGAACTAAAAAAAAAATCTTATAGAAATATATTAAAATAGATATTAAAAATGATGTATTTGGTAGTAATAACAAATTGTTAAGTATTTTTACATTTTTATAGATAATACTGTATAAAATGAAGTGAATTAATAACTGACACATTATTTAGTTAAGCATTTTATGACAATCATAATAATTGATTATTATTTCACAATAATTGTTGATAAATCTAACTTTATTGTAGTAATAAATTGTATTAGAAATTTAATTCAAGAATTTTTATACATTATATTGAATTTTGCATTAAATTTGTGACTAATTTGAAACTATTATTAGAATTGTTATTGAGATTAACCAAGATGATATATATTATAAATTAAATTTATATTACATGTATAATATTAATGTAATATCCATTACATTAAACCTTAAATTTTGTATTATTGCTATCATATTATAATGTTTTCTAATTATTTTCTAATTATAATCACTTTTAAGTATTTTTAGTATTTATTGATCGATACTATAGTGTCTCCAATAGTGAACGTTTGCATTGATTTATAGCGATTGCTGTACTCATTGGTGTTTACAATGAGACGAACGCCTACAGTGAGAGTCATAGATATAGTGAACAYACARTACAGTATATCATTGTATATGATATTTGTTTCAATGTTTTGACTGACAATTGTATTAATTCTGTTATTTTAATATACATTAACATCAAAGACAAAGATTATTACCGAAACCAATACATCTTCGGTATAGTTATATTGTTAACAATATATATACCATTTATTTTGTCAAAACATTTGTATCTTTGTGTGTATTATTACATTTTATACACACATATCATATATTACAATGTCTGCCGAAGAGACAACTGATAATGTAAGTGATAATCATTAATATTTGTGGTTATCTAATGATAATATCATTTAATAATGAATAGATATCGACCAAAATGGAGAAAGAAGAAGAAGACAAATTGAAGGCAAAGTACCCACACGTCCAAAGACCTGGTCCTCAGTTTCTACAAAAACGACTTCAAAAGGGGGTCTCATATCTAACCAATACTTTAATGACATTTAAGATAATTGAATGAATTGATTGAATAATTTTGTTTGATTATAGCAAAAATTCTTTGATTCGGGTGATTACAATATGGCCAAAGCAGCCGCCAAAACATCGAAACGTTTGCCCGAATCCAAACTATCAGCCGTTCACATACCGGAGCCGGAAATGACATCTTCATTGCCTACGGGCGACACAATACCGACGCCCGACTGTTTGGCCAACCGGAAGACGTCTATTCACGTCCAAAGTAAACTGGTTTCTGGCGCACCATAACTGAAACCAATAATCTTCGTCGCCATTGACATCACCCGTTAGCGAGAGATTTACACACACTTACAGCACAAATCAACTGATTATCATTTGCTAAGACAAGTGATTAGCAATTATTCAGACATGAATTTTGATTTTTATTTATCATTTTTTTTTTTGTATAATTTTACGGCTCAATTAATTTTTATTTTGTTTTTAATTACCGGTATATTATTTTATCTAGAAATCTAGTTATTTCAAGTTACCGTAATTTAGTTTATATTACTTTTTATTAAATTACCGTAATTTAGCTCTAAGTGTTTGTCTTTAATTATTTTGTATTAAAGAAAATACTTAAATATTAGAAAATCAAGTTTTGTTTATTTGACAAATTTATCTTTATTTTTATTGTATATTTGTTAGTATAATTAGTCGTACCAATAGTAGTTAATAATTAAATATTAATTACTTTTAATAATTAAATGGCAATTTTGTATGTTATAGAGTGAATGTATGAAAAATGATATATTGTGTGTAATAACAAATGTTAACCAATGTTTTACAAAATACAAACCCATTTTTAGCTAAAAATATATTTAGATTTCATTTCAGTGTCAGTTCAAACAACATTAATTGTATTAACAATTAATGTTATTATACATGTATGCCATACAAGTGTTTCAATAGTTATTACTGTGTTGTGAGTAATAAGTGAGAAAACATTGATAAGACATTAGTAGATATAATTAAATGTAAATATTTTTATTTCGAAATTGTCTGTAAAATCCTTGACTTTTCAATCAATTTGTGTACTAATTGTATACCGAAAAACACAACTTTGTATTAAAAACTAATATCAAATAAAACAACACATATTTGGATAAATATCATATGAGTTTGAAATTATTTGCTATAATATTGTTAAAACTTCGACAAAACTTGTTTTTAAATTTATAATTGTTTTAAAAAAGATATAGTTTTTGTTAAACTTTTTTAGTAAATCAAAGATCGACTCAATAGTTATCAACTTTTTTGATGTTTTTGTTTAATATGTCTTGAGTTGCGATTTTGCGGACTTTTGTTGGCAACTTTGTGGACGTCATCGTAAACATTTGACTCCTTGTGCTGAACTCCCGGTACACTCACATCGAGCTGATCTTTGCAAAGAAGTATATCAATTCGTGGTATTTGTCGGATCACTTTAATCACATCAAGTGTATTGTCTTTAGGTTTCCACAATTCTTCAACAGTCTTGTGGCCGATGATTGTCATCTGATATAAACTGGTTTTGGTTTTATTATCAAACTTTCTTTTAACGAGTTCAGCACAAGTGATCACTTTATTACAGGCCCTATCAGATCCAGTGAACACAATGTGACGTTCATTATCGTTGACCATCCAGTTCTTCACCGAATAGTCGACAATATTTCTACAGTTAGTGCCGACATTGACACGCATTTGCAATACATTTGTGGGACAATAGTCACCAAATGGTTGATACTTATCATCAGTCACTTCAGTGACAGATTCTTTCGTATAGTTTTCCATTAGATCCAGTCATCCAGTGATTGTCAGTCAGTATAACACGTGTTGTCAATCAACACAACAACACAAACATTGATTGTGTAATACTTTCAATGCATTCAAACTTCAATTACGTCTTTAATATACAATTTGTTTGATAAGTATTTTATAATTTTTAATATTTAAACAAAACATTTAATAATACAATAGTATTACTTAACAATTTTAAACATTAATTACAATAAGAAAATTTATAAAAATTAAATGATAAATGTGTCCAAATTTAGTAGTTTTATGTGATGACAATTTTGTTGACAATTTTATAACAATTATAAGATAAATGTCAATATATATGTAAAATAATAAACAATAAAATTTAAATTGAATATTAATAGACACAAATGCATAATATGATTAAGTTATATACAGTACTATAATATAGTAATGTATAATAATTGTTAAAAATAATAAAAATGATAATCAAATATAATTTCAGTTCAATAGGTGTTGAAATTGTTTGAGATGTGAACAGAAGAGTACCGATTGGGCCCAACCGGCCATTGGACCAAATGTGGTCAGAAAGAAATCAACTGTTAATAAAATATACATAAAATCAATTGTCAAATAATGTTATTATTATTATTTTTAATACAAACCAATCTCTTTATATGATTTGTGATTCAAAGTTTTATTTGTCTTAAGATGTGGTAAATATCGTTCAACCGCTACTTTATAGACATGTGTATCGACAGGTATGGCCTGTAAGTGTCCCAAACCCATGAGTGCAATACAATCGGCCACTTTTGCTCCGATGCCCGGCATTCGCATTAACTCTTGTCTAGCCTTTTCGTATGCCATCTCTTCTAAAGATTGAAACCATTGTTTAGGGCAACCATTGCTTTCATTAAAAATACATTTGGCTGTCAAATGAATAAACTTTGATCGGTATCCAAACCCAAGTGACCTCATCGTTGATTCGGCACTTTTGTCGGCTAATACAGTCATCGATGGCATTGAATATATTTCCGGATATTCTTTAGATTGACATAAGAGTTGTCCAAACTTCTGACACATCTTACCAATCATTGAGTCAATTCTTGAGATGTTATTATTCTGTGAACACATGAAAGACAATAACGTCTCTTCGCTTGTCTGTCGCATAATTCTTATACCAATTAATTTATCACTAATTTTGGCAAAATTTGAATCACTTTTAGACCATTTGTAGTACAAATCATTTAAATCGATATCAAGTCTAAAGTAATCACTAATTAATTGGTCAAAAAAGTGTTGATTGCCTTTTGGTCTATTGTGGTGATCGTCGACATTGTCGTTGATAATCCTATACTTGATGTGATGGTCCAGTTGTATCAATTCAACCACAAATTTGTTTTGTATAACTCCTAGCCATCGGTCATCATATAGTTTCCACCGAAACGACTGTCCACTGGTCAGAGTTAGTGCGAGATTTAATTGTCGTACTGTCGTTGCAATTATACCCTCAATCATCGTATTGTTAATTATTATTATTATTACTGTATTGTACTGTAAATGACATTTCATATGATTTTCATATGATTTTCATATGAATAAACCGCTATTATATTAATAGTTTTTGATGTACTAAACAATTAACAATAAATAACATGTGATATTAATATTGACAGGTAATATATAACTGTATTTTAACCTAATTTAATAATATTAAATTAGATATTAAATTAAAAGATTAATAAAAAATATATATTAAAAATTTTAATCATTGTTATTTTTAAAATTACAAAATTAACACTCTATACATATAAAAAGTTAAGTATTGGATAATATTTATTAATTATTTTATTTTACAAAAATTATCAATTAAATTTTTTTAAGCTATATAATTTAATAAAAATTTGTGTTAAAATTATAGTATTAAAACTTAATAAAATTATAATATTAATATATATTTTGGATAAATAATTTAGTAAAATGTTAGCTTTATATTTTAAAAATATTTTTAGTATAAAAATTATTGGCAGTTAATTAGACTGACTATGATTATAGAAATTTTACTAATCCTATTAATTTAATTTAATAATAATATGTAGATATATTTGAATATGTAAATTGTGCTTGGTAATTATGATTATAACGTTTACATGAAAATAGTGTACAAATGCTCTATAATTAAATTAGATTTACCTATATTTTAAAAATTAAATTATAGATTAACGTTAAATAATTTCAAAGTAACTAATGAATGGCTTATGTGTTTGCATTTGAGGACTTTCACTGAGAAATGCCGGGTTATTGTATGAGATCGATGGTAACGGTATGTTTGGGTCAGTCTTATTGATGAGTTGACACTGAACTTGATTTAAACTATTGCCATCACTATTGCTTATAATTGAAATTTGATTTATACTATCATTTAATGGATCATCTCTTTGAAAGTGATTGTTACTAAAGCCGTTAGTCATTGAGTTTAATATGAATGGTGTAAATCCTAATTCTTCTAATTTATTGTATCTATAGATTTCAATGACACATAAACTTATAATAATTAAATGTATGACCAGAACTGATATCTGCAACCAATAGGTCCATCCCTTATAGATACTATAGTTTTCAATTGTTGCCGTATTAAAGATAATCTGCTCTCGTGTAGGACTTATCTCTACTGTAGTTAATATTATTGTTATAGTTGTTAAAATTACTGTCAAAATAAAGTCAAAATAACATAAATAATTTTTTCAAATATTTATAATTTTTATAATTACATGAAAATGTAATAAATGAAAGTTTAATGTTATGAAGTAATGTAGATTTGATAATAAAGTCTGGTTTATTAATCTTCAATTGTTTTAATCTTAATAATGCAAATGGCAAGAAAAGACCCAACACTACGGCATGTATGGCACCCATAATACCGGCCACAAGCATATGGTGTGGAGGTTTGAAGAATGTGTCCAACGGATCACAATTATCACGAAAATGAGGCGCTTTTATTGAGCACAGACCCCATAGACCGTAATGTCCTCTCTCTTCTGGCAGTCCTATCAATTTCATTTCAATGTCTCATTTATTGTATACTTTTAATAGAAAATAAGTTTTATAGTTAAATCAATACCTAAATCAGTTTTGGCCTCAAATACACCCCAATGATTGAAAAACAATGAAATCATATGAAGAGTAAAGCTTATGAACCATAGGATTGTTTGACTTAAGGGAACCACAAAAATCAAATACATTTTTGTTATCAAAGTTGTAATACAAAACAGTGCTTTGTATTAAACATTTCAAATCATTTATAAATATGTTATGTAATCACATAATGAAAGTTTAAAAAGACAAATATTGACCAAATATCAGATGATTTAAAAAGTTGTTAATAAAAATTGCAAACAAATGACAAGTATGTCCTGATGTTCATCACATAACAGGCACTGCCCTATCATTTAGAAACACTTCATATTAATATATAAATTGTTGTATTACTAGTTTACCTTTATTTTAGCTGTTTGTTAGGTTAGTGCTAACTTAGAGCAACTGTTTATTATAAGTAACTAACATCACTTGTATGTTATGGTGACCATCCCTACCTATGCTATTGGATACCTGTCTATTAATATACCTGTATAAACCACATTTCCGGACTATTGAATAACAATATTAATATATACTATAATATAAAAATACAATATAAATATTATAAATAACTCTTTGATTAAACTTTGAGGTTTTATTAAGATTATTCAAAGTTTTTTTAGGACTAAACCACTCCTTATATAAAATCTTAATACTATATAATTTACTTAATAGATTTAATAATATTTATTGTTTGTACAAAGTTATCACTTAATTATTATAAAAACAATTTTACTCTATTTAATAATAATTAAAATTTTAATCATATAGTAGTATTAAATTGTAGCAACAATGTAGAATTTACAACCATTAATAATTATAGTATTACTAATTATAACTTATAAGCATTAATATCTATAAATTGTCTATTGATAATGAAAAATAAATTAATAAATTGGATTTATTAGGATAATATTTTTTTTAATTTTTAGATTTTAACATAAAAATTAGTAAAAATTTTTTATTTTATAATATTGCTATTAAAACATATCTAACTAATTTAATAGGATAGTTTTAAACTGAATTTCAATAAATTCTATAATAATTTAATAAATAAGCTCAAATATATTATAATTAATTCACTATCAATTTATATTTTTAAAAAATAATCATATTTTGTTAGTAAATCTCTGTACAGTAACTTGAATACTGTTTTTAACTCAATATATTTTTAAAAATTTTGTTGCTATTTGTTTTCACATTCATAATTATTTTATGAAAGCATATAAAGTATTTTAAATAATAGTGTTATAAGATTATAATTTATATGTATGTAAATTAATTAAATTAGGTATTTAGTAATATAAATATATGAAAATGATAATGAAAACAATAAATTATTTATTAATAAACATTCAAATACACTATTTTTTATTCTACACTTAAAAACAAAAATTTTAAAAAGTGACAAAAATTAAGTAACCTTTAAATATAATAATAATAAAATATTTTATATATAACACTTGAAAATTATATTAGTTATTAAATTTGTAAATTCAATTATTGTATACAAAAGTTAATTGATAATCAATGTAAACTTTATATTACAGTAAATTTAAACTAAATTCCAGTGTAAAATATAACTTAGGAATCTTTTAATTTAGTAGAATAAATGATTTTTGAAATTAATTAGTAATAATTAATTATTTAAAAATAGAATTTAATTAAATTTATTATACATTATCTTACAAATGTATATATATAATGAATTTTTAATATTGAATTTTTCTGGAGACAACTTATAATTGATCTTTTTATAAATTTCAATATTATTAACAAAACAGTGTAAATGGCTAACATAACATTTCTATAGTTTTAAGTTTATACGTTTAAAATACAGTATCATAATTATTCAAACGTATTTATAAATGAGATCAAAATGTAACTTTTAATATCAGTCATATAGTAATGAATTGTAATATAACTTATTAAATTGAAATATGCATAATATTAAGGCAATTAAAGTTAAATGAAACATAAAACAAAATACTGTTACTTATAGTAAATGAATAACAATTAAAATATTATTTATATTATAACATATATTTAACAGAAAAATTGTTCAATCGATGTAAAATTCTTCGATAGGATACGACAACTCAATAAATCTGTTATAAAGTCTATGAAATGCTCGGCCGACAGCTTCGGTCACTTCACGAGTCGATTCCTTGCCTTTGAATACATGACACGCGAGTCTAGTTTCAGTCGGATGTTTTGTAATGAAACCAAAATAGCGATTATCTTCGGGATAAAAGCCACAAAATGTCACGTGTTTTAAGGCAAAGAAGTAGTCATGACTTATCATATGATTATTACTACTATTGATTGGCACCGGTTTGTTATCAGTCATTCTCAATCCTAAGTCACTAATCTCAACAATGGATGGATTGGGAGTATTCATACCGATATCTGATGGCTTGGCTTCAAGTACTCGACGAACTGATTCGCATAACACAGGATTTCCTTTTTGTTCTTTGACTTCAACCGATCCCAAGAAATCCAATAAATATCTTTCTTTTTTAACTTTGATATTAATAAGTGGTAAACTATCGTCACAATTGGGATCAACCATAAACTCTGAATAATCAATATCCGTGACCAATGCTGATGGAAATATGCCTTTTTCACCTGTTTTTAAATTATAGCCCTCACACCATAAATCGTCATTTTCTTTGCTTAAGTGAATTGGATCTCCTATTTCTATCTTAAGCTCATCACTATGTCGGGGAACAAACTTATAGAGACCCCTATGTGTGGCCTCTAATAATTGCAATGATTTTAATTTTTGACTTTCATTTTGATGAACTAATCCATTACCATAAGTCAGAGAGTCATCAATTGGACTAATTGCTGATGAATTACCGGAATCACTACCAAATCGATAATCATCTTCATCTGATGAATTGATACCATTATTTAGAGTTGGATCCTTATTATAGAGTTTTAATGATATCGGTTTTCCATCATTTGAATCAGTTTTGATCTCTAAAAATACATTTGTCGATACCTGACGTATTAGACATTTGTTTTGTCGCAAATAATGTATAACTTGAGGTTTGGCTAACTCTTCAGATAGTGGTATACCATCAGTGGTTGACACTGATTGCCAAAGACCTTCGAAAGCTATAATTCAAAAATTATATAAGAAATTTAAAAAAACAAAAATCATTTTTTATACGAATTTGATTGCAAGGGATTTTCGGCAATTTTCTTCGTTTCCTTTCTTTCAAAGACTGGATATCTTTGATTTCATTGGAGATAATAACTTCATTATTAGATTTACAATTCATGTCGTAGTTGTTTATGACTTCATTTTCTGGTGACTTCAAGCAATCGATGTCAATGTCCGGAACAAGTCTTTTAAACAGTTATTGAAAATATGATATAAAATGATTAAAATATATGAAACAAATGTCAAAACAAAAATAATTTATAAGAATATTCTGAATTATTAACTAAATAAAAGATAGCAATGTTAGTGGTATTGACCGACTCATACCTATAACATTGTTGAGGAGCTCTGATATGTTGAGGCATGAGATCAAAGTGTTTAGTAAACTGTTGGAACTGCGGATCGCCCATCGCTTACCATAAACTAGAGATCACTTCACTGGACCATCAAATATATGCTTTAGTGTACAAAATCATGTCTTATTCAACCTGTCCTTGACTTGCAACTCATGTCTAATGTTTAATCAAAACGATCGGACCATTAAATACTAGTAATTTCATTGTTAGCACCGGAAAGAGGGGTATGACATGAGATCATTAACTTAAATAATACTAAATATATAATGTATTTCCCATGATATGATGGGAGGCCCTGTCTTATTGACTATTATATTGATATTAAGCTCATGTCCTAAACTTCAATGTTCTAAAAGCAAAACAACACACCATATGGAGTAACGCTTGCGCTAACCTCCCGTTCCTCTATATAATAGCCTTTAGGGCTAACTTCATGGTTTTAACTTTCACACACTGCTATAATACATAGTGTACTTACCTTTATTTAAACTACTTAGACCTTAACACTCACTTTTATGTCACCAATATTTAAGATATCATTTATGTTCTCTTTTTAGTTTTTTTTAAATACCTGTTTCTCTCATTTAAAAGAATAAATAAAACTAAATTTATATTTATTAAACAAAAATATTTTGATTTATAATTTAAAGTATATTTTCTGCTGCAGTTATAAAAACATTTATATAGTTAATTTATTATATCATATCATTTTTTAAAGTAATTAATTTAGAAATAAAGTTTAATTATGATATATTTACTTTCAATTAAATCACATTTTTTCTCAAAAATATCCAATTATTAAAAAAGTTTATTTATAGAGTCTGTATAATTTAGAGTTTAAATTATATTATAGACTAATTACATTATGGCATTAAAATTTATTTTATTTTTTTTAATACAATATTACATTTGTGGATTTAGTTATAAATGCAATTTTACTTTATGTATCATATTATATAATTTTTAATTTAAAAACACATCTCGTATGCCATACCCCGCCATTGTCTTAAATATACTGTAACTTTTAGTATACTCAGTATACTATACTGTATTTGAGATATTAACCAAAAATATATACAGTAGCTCAAGAGTCAATGGATAGTAACTGTGGTGAGTCTAATAAATGTGTTAACTATTCAAATATCGACTAATTATATGAGCAGTTATCATATCTATTGTGTTTTTTAGGTTAACTTTTAATATATAATTAATATGACAGTCAAAGCAATAGATATATATACCGGTATATACTGTATATCACTGGATTCATACCAAAGCAAAAAATGGCAATTTCACGTAACTTGTTATATATTATAGGAAATGTTAACATGCACAAATAAACCATTTTGTATGATAAAAAATATTATTGTCATTTATTAAATGAGCTAGGTGACATAATTTTTGTAACAAATTGTCATTTTTGCTTAGTTATAAAAAGACCATTTAGTGTTTGCGGTTTATTATATAGACAATGGTACCATCAAATTAATTCAAGTTTGTATAAAATATAGATATAATCTTCAAAAAATTTGCGATAAAAACTTCAAATTGTCTTATAATTAAGAAAATATATAAAAATAAATTTTTAAAGTTTGCACAATTCAGTATTTTTTAAAAATAATTTATACATTTATTTGACTATTGCTATAATATAGTAATTTGTATAATAATAATAATGATAATTCTAATAATAAATAATAAAATTTTCTACTTTCACAAACAGTTAATGTATAAATTTATATCTAGTTTCAAATAAAGTAATTTTAAACAATGTTTTCTTTTAAAAAATATAAATTGCAATAAAACACTAATAAAACAATTCAAAATTTGAATTTCAAATGTTTTGTTTGTTTGTATTGATATAATGTTTTAAAATAAAACTTTTGTAAACTTAAGTTATGAAAAAAGAGTTGCTATGCATTTATTTTATTTTTTAAATCACAAGTTATTTGTTAACAAGTTTTAAATTACATGGAAATTGATTTTTTAATAGTTTTGATTGCAATGCTATTTTCACATAATATATAGTAAGCAAATATTTTATTAATCGAAAGAAAATTAATTAGTAAATTTATATACACTGAGTAATTGACCATGCTGATTTTGTTTTTTTAAATATTGATATTATATGAATAAATGATATGAAAAAAACTTAGAAATTAAAAATATCTGTATTTTTATAATTTGATGTTTAATAGGAAAATTAATTTATTGATTTAATAATAATCTATAAATTGATTTAATGCAAATTGTTGCATAATTTGTAATGCATCACTATTTTACTTATCTAATGTTAAGCAAACTAAAATAATTGCTATACAGTATTAATTAAAATTGCATTATAATTATATAGACTATTAATATTTAATTAAAATAATCATTTTTGTTGTATAAGTTTAAGGAAATAAACGTCTATTTAGATTTGAAAGTGTTTTTTAAACATGAAATTATAGCATCATTTCAAGGCATAGTAACATTTGCTGCAAACTATTAATTGCAGTAATAAAACGATTTTAATTTTAATAAATAGTATTATAATTTGATAGCATTTTTTGATTTGTCATTAAAGACATTGTACTGAATGAGTGAGTGATATACTGTATCACTAATAGGTTAGCGCATTGAAAGTGTTGTATTGAATGCAATGTCAATATACAGGTAATACTATAAACACTTTAATACTGTATAATACACAACACATTGCATATCAAGTGAGCAATGATTACATAATGCGTTAAATTGTTGTTCAAATAATGCATTGAAATAACATTTATTGAAAATATATTAAAAACAATTGATTTTATGCTATGTTTTGACTAATTATTGTTGATTTGCAACACATTTGTAACAATCATTGTCTGCACTCTTGAGTTGTCATCACTGCAACAGATGTGTCTCTAAATGATTGACTAAAAGACATGTTTGTTGTCATTAATATTAATATGATTTGAATGACTCAATCATTTTGAATATCTATTTGTTTATATCTTTGTTTAACTCTTATAAACCAATAGTTTAGTCACAATTATAGCACAATATTTGATCCAAAAGTGATGTCACGAGCGGTGAGGACAAGGACTCCAACTTTTCGGTTCAATCGCAATGAAGACGATTTGCTCGAAGAAGTTATTCAAACAAATGAAGAGTTGAGTGAAACAAATGATTCAGTGGACACTTCACTCAATTTGTCCATTGAATCGGTTGATAACAGTTTGACGGCCAATGACCACAATTCCAGTCATTTGAGTGCTTTGTTGGCCAATAAAGATAGACTCACAGTCCGAGACTTCTTCAACTCAAAGCTCAATAAGACAAAGAGTTTGGATGAAGACAATAGCAAAGAGTCGGGTATTGCTTCCAATTGGTTTAATGACATGAAGATAAAGATTAAAGAGAAAATAGACGAAAGAAAACGAGAGAAAGAATTAAAACAATCGATTAATACCGATGTTAGTGATAATGATGTCCAAAAAGAGACAACAATTGTCAATAAAAATGTGATGAATGAAACAAATGAAGAGAATAACAGAAATAAAATAAATCATTTGTCCGGTGAAGACAACGAAACCATTCCATTGGTAACTGATTTACAGATTCAGTCAATTGATAATAGCTATAGTGTTAATGAAAACCTCATTATAAGTAAATCATTTGAAAACCCTATGGTTTCCATTGTTCCGGAAATCGACAACAAATGTGAAGACAAGTGCGAAACTCGACAATTGCTTCATCTAAATAATTACAGCCGAATTGTTAATATAACGGCTGCAGTAATTGCATTCATATCTTTGATTATATCGATGGCACTTCCAGTTCCTTCATTTATAAGTGGATTATTGTTTGGATTTATTTTGACAGTAATTCTGTTTTCAGTATTAGGTTTTTATCTAATTTCTAACTATTTAGTTGTGACGCCAACCGACAGCAGAAAAAATAATATTAAAAAGGATGTAATCATAACTAATGTTACCAAAGATGATGAGATACATAAAGGATGGGTTTATGAGTTTATAGGCAATTATGGTGAACGCGATTCAGGATTTAAAGTTCAATTAATATATGTTCGTCTTCAGGGATCAAATCTAAGACTATCCAAACCTAAGCACGACTTGAAAAAGCAAAAGTTAAATTCAAATTCATTGCCTGTATTCATATCTCAAAGATTCTTCGATTTGTCCAAAATTTTACATAAAAGAGTTTATCTTCTTTTGCCTAAAAGTGTCAGAAATCAAAAGAAATACGTTTGGAGTAAAAAATATCCGATTTGTCTTGAATTAGAAGACATAAAAACCAAAAATATTGTTAAATTGATTTTATTTATTCGTAATTGTCGTGAAAAAGAAGAGTGGTTTTGGAAATTGAGAGAAAAGATACAACAAAACTTATATTCATTGATTGGTGCGTCAGATCCGCCCACACCTAATACCAGTTGCGATACGATATCTACCGAAATGGATCGATTGCCTCGAACTCAATCCTTAGATCTCGGATCCTTACAAAGCGCTACAACTTTTTCTTCGATGTCTAATTCGCCCACAAGTCCTTCAAAAGAGTTATTAATATTATCAAAACAAATAGATTACAATTTTTTTATTAATAATTTAGTAACACTTAAAACGGATAATACGTCTTCCCTTTCGTGGTTTAACGCATTGATAGGTCGTATCTGTTTTGATATATTGAACGAACCATTTTGGTCGACATATATCGCTGCAAAAATCCAACGAAAACTTCGGCGCTTAAGACTTCCTTATTTTATGGAGTCGTTAACTATCACTGAAATAGATGTCGGCAGTACTTTGCCTTCATTTAATAGTGTCCCGAACCCACCCATTGTTGATAGTAAAGGATTATGGATTGATTTTGATATCACTTACTCTGGTAAGAGATCATTGAATGTTTAAATAAAAATAATTTTTCACAATTTAAATTATAGGAGGGTTTACAATGACTTTGGAAACCAAATTAAATTTAATGAAACTTAAAGAACAGGCTAATGGCGCACAAGAAATGAAAAATTTTTCGGAAAGACCTGATTTGGATCTTTCGGACAACGATAGCGATTCTATACTTAGCAGTTCTGAAGATGAAATAGAAGAGAAACCTCCCGTTGATCTCGAAGACGCTGATAACACCAAAAAACAACAAAAGATTCTCAAATTTGTCGATAAAATCGCTTCTTCCCCCTATTTTCAGAAAGTGTCAGAAAATAAATATGTAAAGCGAGCCATGGAAGAGGTGTCCAAAACTGCACTTATACTGACAGTTCAAATACAAACTCTGAACGGAACATTAGGTTCGTATGACAAGAGAACTGATATATTAAATAAATTTATTATATTTATATTAAATTTATCTGAAAAGCTATTAATATTCCTGAACCGCCAACCGATCGATTGTGGTATGGTTTTAGAGGCAATCCCGATCTAGTCCTGTCCGCCCGACCCAAGTTGGGTGAACATGAAGTTAGTATCAGTCATATAACAGATATAATTGAGCGTAAACTACGTGCAGAGTTTGCTAAAGTGCTAGTAATGCCTAATATGGATGATTTGGTGATACCTGTTCTTACAGCTAATATTGAACAATACGTAACTACAGTGCCTTAATCCCAGTATTGCACATCTGTTAGATTGTGGTCAATGTAATAACAAAAATAATATCTTTTATCCAATTGTTGCAATTATAATAATTTCTATTTTAGTTAATTATTTATATTTTAATTAATTTTCATTTTTCATATCCATTGCTGTGATAATTAATAGCTGATTTGATTATTTAAACCAACAATTAATGAATATTTGTTTATTAAACTTGATTAATGAATACATACACACGTTATGCCTAATATGTACTGTAAGTCATATACCAAATGTCAATGTTTTGTCTTAACATTCAGTCTTAAATACAATTAAATACAATTAATCATATATTGCAACTCAATTTGTATTGATTTCTAATTTGAATAAAATTTATAAATGATTTTCAAACAATGTTATGTTTTCACTGTATTATATAATATTTAATAATAATTAATTAATATATTTCTCGACTAAAATGTTATATTACTATATAATATATAACGGAATGTAATTAGTATTACATTTAAATGAAACCTAAAATAATAAAAACTATTTCAAGTCTTCGAGTCTTAAGTTTCGGTGAAGTTGTGGCTTAACATCGCATATAACTCGAGCCAACAGGTCTTCAATTACTTTGTCTTTCGCAGTCATAACAGTCTTATTCATGACATCCATCTTAATGCGGGTCTCGACCTCTATTTTGGCCGCAATATCGTCTCTAAAATGTAAAACATGTCAATACAATCATATCATATATCAAACTCAATGGTCAAACCGGGAACCCATATGTTGTCGTTCATAATCTCGAAACTGTTTTTCTCTTTCGGCCTTAAATTTGTCGATCTCTGCGTTGGCCTCATCTTTGGCCTGTTTGAGTCGCCGTGCTTTACGTTTTCTGGCCTCTTGGACCTATTGGATCAATTGGTATTCAATTCAATTAATTCATATCAATTGTTAAACAATTAATCAAATGTAACCTTTTCTGCCGCACGTTTCTCTGCGGTCAACAATTGTTGAATGCCATGTGTTTGACTGGCCATCACAACAAACCGTATAATCGATGATAACTTCACTTAACTATCACTCAATTGAATCCAAAAAAACAATAATCGCTTCACTGATGTCTGAAACGCCCAACAATTGACTCAATTTTGTAAATATTGTAATTCAATGTAGAGATGTTTGCAGTTTATAATATACGGATAATTTTGTACAGTATTTATGATAAACACAATCCGGTATAATCAGTGCTAAAGAGTGACTGAATTGATGTCTACTCTATAGAGTATTACTATATGTCAGCTGAAAGTTATGTTTCCTTTTAAACTTAAGTCCATTTCATTACATTTGATCGCTAATCGACTCAATACTCAATGCAATACTCAATCCAATACTCAATAGTCAGCACTCATTCATATCAATGACATAACACTTAACAAGTGTTTGACTTAAACACCGATTTTATTAATAATTTATAAAATTGTTTATATTATTGACTAAACAGATGTCTTGTAATGATTTACTAATCACTTGTTAATCAAAAAATATTTGATTATTGCTTTGTTTTATCACTTAAATGACTGATTGAAGCCATCAATGGATAACTATTTGGAAAATTGCAAAAAACAATTGGTTTGTCTCTAATTGAATCAATTGATTTGATTGTCTTTACTTGATTTGCAACTATAGAAACAATTATCTTCGTTGTCCTCACCGGTCGAGTTGGTTGTTGGCAATGAAAGCTGTGATTTGGATTCAGCTGTCAGTGCTGTTGGACTCGCTTTCATTAAACACATTGAATACAATGTATGTCAATATCATGTCATATATGGTATTGTTTTTTGTAACACTTTATATACATTTATAGTCTGGAGATTATCACCAAAGACTGGTTGTTCCCATATTGAATGCCACCCGAAATGAATTGTCGTTAAAGACTGAAGTGATCTTTTGGTTTGAAAACTCAGTTCACTTGAATTGCGAGGATCTCATCTGCAGAGATGAAATCAATTGGGAACTGCTTAAGACAAGTATTAATCTATTACTATATTTATTAAACAACATTATTATCAAAACAATAATTTTCATTTATTTATTTATTGTAATAATTATTAACAGAGAAAGTGTTGATAACTTTAGTGGACCACAACAGTAATGATCAATTGGCCAGAATTGGTGAGATAATTGAGATAATAGATCACCATAAATATGATACCACCAAAAGCCTGGTATCTGATCCATCAAAACTGTTGATTGATTTGAATGTCGGTTCGTGTTCAACACTTGTCGCCGAAAAATTTCTTAAAAGTAAATTAAGAAATGATACACAATTGGCGCTTATGTTCTTCGGGACCATTGTTTTAGGTCAGGCTTACTATTGATTAAGTGATTTGTATTATTTTATATAACTTTTATTATATATTAATATTTTATCAAATTATAGATACCCTTAATTTCTCAGATAGTGCTCAAAAATATAGTGAAAGAGATAAAAATGTTATCAAAGAGTTAGAGTCTATAATTGAGGACAAATCCATTTCGCGATCTGAATGTTATAAACAATTAAGTAATGCCAAGAACTCGACAAATCATCTAACCTTTGAACAGTTGTTATTTAAGGACAAGAAAATGGTTGCAAATACAAGAATTATAATATCATCGATTTCGGGTCAATTGGTGTCTAATATGGATTTAGAATCTAAACGAACTTTATTTTATGAGTTATCTTCAAATGAAAATTATCGGTTTGAGGCCATTATTCTGTTAGGAATTGATAATACAAATAATGATTGTATAGGACGTGATTTGGCTGTATTTACCAAAAATACAAGTCTTATGACAAAGGTTTAGATCTATTACTTACCGGTAGTTTCATAATTGATGTATAATTCAATATTTTCTTAATTTTATTCTCAAAAGATTACATCAAAATTAGAATCGGAAAGCAATGGATTAGAATTAAGTTTAGTTAAAGATTTAAAAGATTTAAGAATTTATAAACAAAACAATGTTAAGGCCTCCAGAAAGCAAATAATGCCTTTAATTTCATCGATTTACGAAACAAACGGAACCGGTATTTAACAATTTGTTTATTAATTTATTTATATTTACGGTACTATTTAATTAGTTATAAATTTTTACATAATTTATTAATTAACAATTTTGTCTTATTTTGTGGAATAAATATTTGTACGAATACGAGGTTTAATGTTATTGTAATACTGTATAACTGTAAATGAGTCTCTTTCTTGTATTGTTATATAAATTTTATTTACCATAGTATCAGATGATAGCAACAAATCTCCGAATAATCGGAAAAAGTTGTTGAAAGCGCTCTCCACTGCAGACGTGGATCCAGAGTTTGTTCTCAATTATATTCCCGAAACTGTAGATTTTCTTGAGTCTCCACAATATAGTTATGTCGAAACAGAGGTCTGATTATGTTTACGATTGTTTGAAAAAGTTGTCTCGTTTTTTATGCTAATTGTTGTTATATTAACTTTGTTTTACAATTATTGTTAATATTTAGGCCGAAAACTATTTTCCGTCTTCCCCTTTAAAAGGTTAGATTTAAATCATTTATTAATATTTTTTGTTTTTACGTAAAAAATAGACACAACTAATGGTACTCACAATATAATGAATAAAGAATCAGAGCTTGAAATACCAAACATTGATAATCATAAAGTAAATAATCCGGAATCAGTCTATGGCTCATATATAGAAGATTCGTTTGTTGGAGAATTGGTTGGTGATTATCCTAACAATGATGACAAAGATGAACACGATTTAGACCATCACTGGACTTTAAACAATGGCATTGGTATTAACAATGAAATTGAATTTGATTTCGACTCATTTGGTCCCGAATCGATTCAACCAGTTTTTACCGATAATAATGATATCAACAGAGAGATAAATCCTAACGATATAAAAGTAAAGTTGTCGTTAAGTGAAGAAACACTAAATGATGGTATAGTTACTTAGTTGGCATTTATGTAGTATTTTAGTTATTTTATTTTGATTATTGATTTTATTTTGTTAGAAGTTAATCAATCAAATGAATTACAAACTAAACAAATAAATGAACAAAACAATGAAAATAGCGAAAAGCAAATGAATGGTTCACAAAATTCTGAAGCTTTTAATCAATCGTTTTTATCGGTTCCCAATGATGTCAGTTCTACCTCTGAATCAGATATAAGCCAAACATTGAGTGAAGAAATTAGAGATGAAATAAACAGCACTCCCTTTAAAAGAAACACTTCATTAACACAAAGCCAGAGAAAGAAAATCAGTCCACGAATTAATATTCAGCAGATTCTTAACTCTTCCGATGACTTAAGTCCTGGTATAGTACCGGACGAGTCCAGTGCCACTCATACTAATCATCCACTTTCTATAAATGTTGAACCAATTAGTGCCAATTCATTAAATACCAGTAATATTAGTGATGGAAGTGAAAGTAAAGGTTAGGACATTGATATCTGAAACACTACCCTTTCTTCTGGTGTTTACATCATTTTATAACATTTTACATCTTTTTTAACAACTATTAAGAATTATTAAGAACTGATTTCAAGCTCTGATACTTTGCTTCATATTTATTTGTCTTAATATTTTTCTTTAACAAATTTATTAATAACATTAATCTTCAAACAAAGGTTTAAATCGAAGGCCGTCCACAACAAAGAAGAAGATACCGGTTAACAGAGAGTTCTTCAAAAGCGACGAATTTAATGGTTAATTCGAAAAAATATATAATTTAATAGATTTAATAAAATCCATTTCCATTAAATTTATTTACCGGTAGATAAAAGTGGAGACGGAGAAGCATCACATATTGAAGAGTTAAGTGCTCGACAAGAATTGGAAGAATCAAGAGCTTGGAAAGAGTCGTGTCCTATGGGACCTGAAGGTGATGTCAAACAGATTGATATGAAAGTTATTGATCCGTATAAGAAAGTCATATCACATGGCGGATACTTTCACTCAAATAATACAATAGGGAATTGTCATCAATCAGGTAAAGTATATTTTAGCCTAAAATGTTATAATTGTGTATTATTTACGTTTTTATCAGTAATTAAAAAATGTTTATTTGACACATTAAGGTACGAGTCCAGCAATAATAGTATTTTCTTCTTGTTATTTACCCGATCGAAGTCGTAAAGACTACAACTATGTTATGGATCACCTGTTTATGTATGAATTGTTTGTTTGATTATTTGGTTATTTTATAATTATTATATAACACAATATCTAACCACTGATAGGTATGTGTTGACAACTTTGCATAATTTGATTGCTGACGACTATATCCTCATATACTTCCACAACGCTGGTGTCTCTTCTATGGGCAATAATATGCCAACATTTGGATGGCTTAAGAGATGTTATTATATGATTGATAGGAGATTGAAGAAGAATCTAAAAGGATTGTATTTAGTGCACCCGACCTTCTGGTTGAAGACACTTATTATTATGAGTAAACCATTTATAAGGTATTCATTAATTGTTTCAATGAATTAGTTCTAATATTCATATTTGAATTGATATATAAAGTTCAAAGTTTTCGAAGAAATTGAAATTTGTGTCCACTTTGGCTGAATTGAGTGCTTTGTTGCCTATAGAACACATAGCAATACCAGAAGCAGTCAAAACGTAAGACATGTTGACAATTAAATGACAATTGATCCCAACTGATCCCAATTGATCCCAATGTTCCCCAATTGCTTTGCAAGTGTTTGCTTCTAACTTCTAAAAGTCATATCCTTTTTCTATTTTTCAAATGTATAAATGTTTCAATTAATATGTAATAAACTTTATTCAATAACAGTTATGATGAAGAAATCGCTTATAATTATCTATAATTGACACTACATTTGTTCACTTCTTAATATGACTTTTGTTATAAATTTTGTTCTCAATATTTGCTACGAAACTAACGACTCTTTTCTGGCAAATGTTTTACTATTGATGAATGAATCTCTTATATATATTCAACAATAACCATAAAATATCAATAATATAAAATGTTATCATTTGAGTGTTGAAAATAAAACATGATTCTGTATATAATACCAAAAATAGATATACAGATGATTATTGAAATGTTAGACAATTTTTGACATTTATATGACTTAATTATTATGATTTAATTTTTATTAGGATTGACACACAAGTAATGAGTAGACAAAGAAAAAGTCGTCGAACTACACAATAATAGATTTAATTATATTTAATATTATAAATAGTATTATTTTTTGTATTTATTAATTTAATGCTTTAATATACAATTATTATTTGTAATCTTTATTTATTTCTGTGATACAAATGTTATATATAAATTTATGAATAATTAATCATATTTCCTTAAATAGTGTATAACAAAATTGTAAATCACTAATTTTTGCTATAAATAAAATGATTTTTATATACTATTATTGTATAATAACATAAATTTTTAGTATATTATAAAATGTGTAATAATTTCTATTATATATATTACAGTTATTCTCTTTTAAGGTAATCACTGATGAATTAAGAAAATATCTAAATATAAAGTATACAGTAATATATAAAATTAATACATAAACCGGTAATAAATTATAATTTAATTAATAATTTATTATTATTATTGTTTATAATTGTACAGTATATTATATAATTATAATGCATTTATGAAAGTTCAGTAATAATACTACAATTGATATACATTTATATAATCTTATACTTTATGATTTTTTACAATACAGTAATTTTAGAAACATAAAGTTAAGTTTATTTTAAATTTATAACAAACTATGAGCAGATTATACAAACTAATTAACGTAATTTTACTTTAAGTTTATTTTTATGTAAAAATTTATCTAATTTTAACAAGAATATCCATTTTGACTCTAATATCACATTTCATTATGTATTTTCTAATACAATGAATTTATATAAAGTTTTTTAAAGAAAAAAATTTAGAAAATTAATATTTTAAAAAATTAAAAATTATTAGATTAGTCATTGATAGTGTAAGTTATATAAATATTTACACATTTAAAAAACAGTATAATATTGTACTATTGGCTAACAATATAACTTAAATTATATTTTACTTATGATTACATTGGATTTTAGTAAATGCATTTGAATAAGACATATGAAAAATGATTAAATATATAGAATACTACAGATATAGTATAGTTAGGGTTTGTAATGATTTCATCCCTCGTCTTATTTCCAAAAGATCCCTATGTTTCCTACCTTTTGTGAATTCCCAGGGAATCTATTCCCTTGTACACCACCTATTGAACCATAAACAACACATTTTATTATAATTCTAAAAAAACAAATGTTATATTAAACTTTATTTTGAATTGTATTGATAAATAATATGACTTTTTATTGATTTTTGAATATTTCAATTATATTTTATTCAAAATATTTAAGTTTTGGTACTATTTATTGTAATAATATAAATTATTTTCCCCTTCTAACGAGCTAGGGAGGGAAAATAAAGTATTTTCCATATTTTCATGAAAAATTGTAGGGATTTTATTAGAAAACTTCCCTCCCTTGGGAATCATTACAAACCCTAATTGTGATTAACTTAATTGCAAATTGAAAATCTCATTAAAAGCACAAATGATTTTAACATTTAATTACTGTATAATACAGTACTTATTAAATATCAATTCACTTGACAACCAAACCATAAAACCAGAAAGTCTTAAACAGCGGCGGCGGCGATGATAGCGGCGATGCTATTAATTACAATTATCTGGTCAATAATAAATTTGATTAAAAAGTGACCAATAGCAATGTTGTAGATAATTTTAAACTAAATAAAATTGTTATTGGTCATTGTTTAATTAATTATATGATTGGCCAGATAATTGCAGTCGACTATCATTTATAAATTTTTTAAACAGTCGAATATATATTATATGGCCAATCATACAATTAATTTAAAAATGATCAATTACAATTTTATTCAGTTTAAAATTATCTAGAACATTGCTATTGGTCACTTTTTAATCAAATTTATTGTTGACCAGATAATTGTAATTAATAGCATCGCCGCTATCATCGCCGCCGCCGCTGTTTAAGACTCTCTCCCATAAAACTATATTTTTAAAGTAATTTTTGTTTAAACATAACGTTGTATTTGTATGACTGTGTTGTATGTGTTGTGTGTGTGTGTTGTGTCAGTTGTGGAAAAATATATGTCTATTAATAATACAATAATAGATTGAAATACATGTAAATAGTTGTGCAATGATTACAACATTTGCTTTAATTAAATGCAATTTATTCTAAAGCCATGACATTGTTGTCCATCGAAACACTGATTCATATGAATTACATTCATATTAGTGACCAATGAGTCCATCAATGAATCAATCGATGTCTTAATGAATGTCATGAAAGTCATAACGCATTGAAAACAATCATTGATTTCATTGTTTACTCCTTATTGTGATTATCACCACAAGTGGACCACAAACTGACCAGTAGTTGATGTGAGCGATGGACTCATCTGAAGTGGACTCAGATCTGACGGCATATAAGTCGGAACTGAATGGATTGACATTCAATTCAAAACCATTGATAAATCTGTTAACGATGTTATCTGAAGACTATAAGGACACGAAAGCGCCACAAATAGTGTCGTGTATTGAACATCGACTTCACGAGGTGTCAAATGACAAGAAGTTACCGATTCTGTATTTATTGGACTCAATCATCAAGAATGTGGGCAATACTTACGTGAATTTATTTACTCAAAACATTGTCTCTACGTTTTGTGATGTCTTCGAGAAAGTGGACGAAAAAACACGATTATCACTGTATAAGTTGCGACAGACGTGGGCCGACATATTTCATCACAAAAAACTATATGCTATCGATGTCCGCATACATAACCAGTTGGACCCGGCCTGGCCTATCACAGCTCCCAAACCAGATATCACTTCCACGGCCTCGACTACAAAGAATACCAAGAATTCAACGAAACCATTGGTTCAGTCAGGTGTAAGGCCAACGCCGAGTGCACCCCAACAACAGGTACACATAAATCCCAAATTTTTCAACGATCCTAATCGTCATCCAACAATATCTTCGGGACCCGACTCAGAGATGGCGAAACAGTTATTACAAAAACAAAACGAAATACTTCAACTACAAGAAGTATTGGCTAAACAGAAGGTCGAGTTGGATAAGCAGAACATGAATGTAAAGAGAAAACATAGTGAAGACATCCGAGTGATTGAGGTTATTGTTGTTGACCTCAAATATTTAAATGAATTCATTATTTTTGTTTTATTACCATTATTTGGTGTCTATGATCTCATTTTGTTAACTAAATTATATTTTTATACATTATTTTTAAATACTTGTTTGTTAAATAAAATATTTAATTTATTATATTTTTATATAAACACACAATTATATATATACTTACTTAAAATTTAGAAATTTTGCTAATAATATTATGTCAAATAAATGAATATGTATTGTTAAATGTAAAGTTGATTGTAAAACAGATTTAGGATTAAAAAAAAGTGTTAATTTATTTAACAAACAATACAGAGAAGTATTTAAGAATAGTGTAATATATAAATGCGTTAAATACTAATATATTGTTTTACTAATTATTATCTATTTTTAGGAAGAAGAGAAAAATTTATTGAATCGACATCTGAATCGACCGAATAGTCCGAACGGGAAAAAAGTTAAAAAACGAAAACGAAGTCAACGGAGTCCCAGTCCTAGCAGTCATAGTAGTTCTCAAAAGAGTCGAAGTTCTCCTCATCGGTGGAATTCAAATGAAAGAGTCAAAGGAAGTCCACAACCAGTTGTTCGAAGCAATCCTTCGTATACAATGAGACAAAATAATCACAGACCTACTAAAAGTTTATCACCTAATAATAGTAAAGCATTCCTTCCTCAGCAAAATACCGTTACAATGCCTCCGATTATATCCTCAGCAGGAGTGCATACCTCTAAATTACTGCCATCTCAACCAACTACTGTTCCAACAACCATACCGGCGCCAACTATATTGGCTCAACCGGAAATGCTTAACATTACTTCAACAATTGAATCAAATGTTTCGACATCATTAAGTTCAATACGAGCCCATCCCAGTCATATAAGTGTATCTAATGTGATCTCCAGTCATTCACCGAATCCAATTGAATCCATGTTTATCCCGTGGGGACAGGACAGAGATTATAGGAAAGACACAATGGATTCTGCAATGATGACTGCAGCTCATGAAAAGTTACGAATGGGAGCTATTAGTAGTGCTGATCACGATATATTGACTCAAGAAGTGGAACGACAGATAATGGAAATGCATAAAATTAATTTGATGAACAATGTGACCACTCCTGTAGTTAATGAACCCAATGATACCTTTACAATGTTAGTCGACGGCAAACTCAGAAAAATATTTTATTTGGATGATTCCGTTGCAGTCGTGTTATTAAATGCACCGCCAAATGCACCGTTCAGTGACTTAATCAATGTTGAATCACAACTGTTAGATCCGAGACAAATCAGTTTTGAAGGAAAGCCCACCAAAGTGTTCTATGACTGTGACCGCGGATGTCATGATTTTATATACCTTGAATTTGGTTGTTCAGATCAAGTGTTTTATCCGATAACTGTTCCATGTCCGCAACGAATTAAATTTGGTGGACCTGCTAAAGAGATTATTTTAAATGGTCAATCATATGCCGCAAAATTTGGAGGTCCACCCATTCAAGTGAAGTTTGATGGCGACAGTATAAGAACACATACCATCCAATTAGATGGACCTACACCTCGTGTGAAACTATCAGATGATCGCAAATTTGATTTATGGCAACAAATTAAAAACAAAGCCACTTCTGGGATGAACACTATGAACAACACATCTGTGATTGAAAATAAATCCACTGATGTCAGCGGTTTGCTTTCAAGACTGATTGCCGCAGGATTTCTTAATAACACTTCAGCTGCTGATAAAAATGATACCAATAATAGTAGTAATAATAATAATAGTAATAATAATAATAATGATAACATCATTAATAATAATAATAGCAATGATACTAATGATGGACGAAATGAGTCAAAAACAATACAAAATGATAACAAAAAGTTACCAAAAAAAGACTCTAAAAAAGAATCTAAACGTAAACCTGAAATACCAATTGAATTAACTTCAGACTCATTAAAGATAATCCGTCCAAATGTTGTGTCCGCTCTTTATAATGGTATTCAATGTACTAATTGTTCTCTACGTTTTGATGAGGATAACGACCAAACGGAAGGCAGTGATAAGACACGGTATGCAAAACATCTTGACTGGCATTTTAGACAAAACAGAAGAGAAAAAACAAAACCAAACTCAAATGCAACGTCTTTAAGAAGAAATTGGTTTTATCCGTTAAATTTGTGGATTCACTTCAATGAAGTTACTGAAGAGGATGAAACAACTCTACTCTTTCACTCAGACAAAGAAAAAGAAATGGATACCGAAGAAGAAGAACCAATTATGTCAGTCAAAGCGGAAAAGGATGAATCACTTAATTTTTGTGCCGTTTGTAGGGAAAAGTTTGATCAAAATTGGAGTGAAGAAGAAGAGGAATGGAGACTCAATAATGCAGTCAAATATGACAATAAAATATATCATCCGTTTTGTTATAAAGATTTATTGACACAACAGGAGAGAATGGAAAGAGAATTAACTGAAAGTATTAATGACGACAAAAACAGTACTATTAATACAGATAAGTCCCTCAAATCAGAGGACATAAATTCTGGTAAAACTAATAGTGATATATTAGTAAATAATTTACAAACTGTTATGAGTGACTCTGAAACTGTTAATAAAAAAAGTGAACAAAATGTTGAAGAAATGGAAACATCAGTCAATGAAATCATTGACACATCTGATGTGATTAATAATAAAATTAATGAATCGACAGATCCAACAATTGATGACATAAAAGTAATTGAGTTTGAAATACCTCTGAATGTAAATAATGAAATAAATCATCAATTGGTAGACAACATGTTAGAGACCAAAGAACTAATAGAAGAAAATAAAGAAGAAAATGTCAACAACAAGACAAATGATGCGGAGGTATCTGAAGACAAGATTGTTCTACAACAGGGAGGGTTTGTTATCAAAATGAAGGCATCAAATCTTCAAACACAAACAACAGCTCAATCATTGGAACCAATGGAGACATCAGAACCCATGAAGTCAGATGTTATCGTTAAGGGAAAAGAGATGTCTTCTCTCTGCAATATTTTGTGAACTGTTTTTTTTGTTAAACTAAAATAATTTAAGATATTTTTTATATTTTAAAGATTTAAAAATAATGAATTTTATAATTATTTAAAAAAAGAAAAATAGATATTTTTTGATTTATAAAAACGATAGATGTTTTGCTTAATATTTGCTTTATTATTGAATTATTAATATGTTTGAATCAATTAGATTGCATTTGCCTATTGCGTCAAATTTAGGATCAATTAGTCGTTTTCTGGCATTTTGTGTGGCGTTTCTTAACGTCGTCGGCGATCGGATTTATTGGACATAATTTGAAAACATCAAAGATCTTTGAAGTTATCAATCATTTAACTGATTATTTGAAGTATAATTATGACTCTTTTTCAGCACTAAAATTATATATAAAGTCGTTTTTAATAAATAATTACAAAATAAAATACAATAAAATTAATGTCTATTTATTCAATTCCTCTTTTGCATGATTATTATAGTCTGACTAATCTATTACCTATATATATATATAAAGTATATATCAATTTATTAATCAATAAACATTAAATTTAAAATTGTCCTTGATTCTTTTGATTTTGTATTACTTAATTACTTTATAATTTTAAATAAAATTTTGAAAAACAAAATAATTTTCAGTCAAGTTATTTGAATTTAATCTCACAATTAAAGTGTGAATATTACTGTTATATAATCAATTGAAATACTTGTATTAATTTATTGTACAATAAAGTAGTAATTTTTATACAGTAGTACTACTGTACAGTACAATATAAGGCAATACAATACACAGGCAATATTGTACTATATATACAGTGTATAGTACAGTATAGTGACTATATTTTACAATACAATTTGTACAGTACACTACAGTATGTATTGTTAAATATTGTACAATACAGTATAATGTATACTGCTGTCTAATATACTCAATAGTACCGTAAGTTACTATATATAATATGAATCATATTATATGATACACACTGTACTACACTGTACTGTATGAATGATATTATGATCAATCGGTTTATCCAATGATAAGTAATGATTGCCTCATGTTTTCAAAACACATGCTTTTAACGCAAATGTCTTTTATTGTAATTTTATTATAATTTTATTGTTAATTATTAGTGATTTAATTGAAATGTGTGACTAAATAACTTAAATATGATTTAATTAATTAATTAATTATTATTTGTGTGTCCATTGATTTGAAAGTGAATAAGCGGTTCAATGAATTACTTATTAAGAGTAAGTAAGCCATCGATCACTTTATCATCGATTTGTATGAAAAGCAATTGGTTTGCAAAGGAGTGGACATGTCTTCACAAAATCAATGTAAAGAACAAACAATTAATTATATTTTAATATATAATAATAATCATAATATTGAAACTTTAGACCCGTTTGTATTCACAACAATCACCACAAGGCAAGAGCTTCTTAGGAAAACTCGTGGAAAACATCAAACAAGAGATCTCGAAGAATAAAGAAATGAAAGAAAGTCTTAAAAAATTTAGAGAAGAGACACAAAAACTGGAGGAATCGGATGCGCTTAAGAAAGCGAGACATAAATATGTAATTTTAGATTTATATATCTAATTATAATATATACCGTAATATTAATGACATTTTACAGCAAACCATTGAATCAGAAACTTCAAAAGGTTCCCAACAGATCATAGACCAGTTGGAAGCTATTAAAGGAAAAATATCGAAAGGTCTCGAAGAGGCACAGAAAACAGAGATCGGCAAAAAAGCCGGCGAAGTAGCCGATGAACTGTCAAAACAGGCTCGAAGTGCGGCACAAGTCTTAGGTAAAGGAAGTGAACAACTCAGTCAAAGTGATGCCTTTAAGACAGTGTCACAGGTTTTGTAAAAATTAATTAATAAATAAATAAAGTTATTAATTAATACTTTAATTTATAGACAGTGAAAGCTGTGAGAGAAGAGATGACAGATGGAAATAAAGTTTATAAGCGACCGGAAAAACTTCGCAAAAGAAAAGAGGAATCGGAAGAAACATTTAGTCATCAAAAACCTATTGAACCAAATGAGTCGGTTTTGACATCTGTTTTAAATGATTTAAATAATTAAATAATTATTGTTTAGAACTGCGACCGGCGTTGAGCTCCATAAAGACAGTCGTTGGTACCAAAGTTGGCAAAACTTTAAAGACAATAATCCTTACGTCAATAAAATATTTGATTGGAAAATGAAATACGACGAGAGCGACAATCCTGTGGTCAGAGCCTCCCGACTCATCACCGATAAAGTAACGGAACTTTTCGGTGGATTATTCTCTAAAACTGAATTGTCAGAAGTGTTAACCGAAGTCTGCAAAATTGATCCAAATTTTGATAAGAATCAGTTCTTAAAAGAATGTGAAACTGATATAATTCCCAACATTTTGGAGGCAATGATTAGACCAGATCTTGGAATTCTTAAGGATTGGTTACACGAAGCGGTATATATTTAATGGTTTAGTAGAAGTAATGTAATTACAATAATCTTTGTCTCAATATACAGCCATACAATCAATTAGCTCAACCTATACTTCAAGCCCAACAAATGGGCTATAAGTTTGAGTCAAGAGTTTTAGACTTAGAGAATGTTGATGTGAGTAATGACCATAATTATGGTGATAATTGTATATCATATTAATTAATAAATAATTATTTGATTTTTTGCAATCAGTTGGCAATGGGAAAGATGATGGATAGCGGACCTGTTCTTATCATTACATTTCAAACACAACAAATTAATTGCATTCGCGATCTAAAGGGAAATGTGATCGAAGGAGACCCGGTTTGACTAAAGACCTACTGATTGAGTAAACATATTATTTACCGATTGTTTTATTTATTATTTAAAGGAAAAGATTCTTCGAGTCCATTATGTTTGGGTCTTATGTCGTGACCAGAATGAGTTCGACCCGAAGGCCTGTTGGAAACTAATGGATTTGTCGGCCAGTAGTGCACAACAATGGCTATGAGTTTTAGACAATTGTTTAGTTCATATTTAGTGTATATACAGTATATAATATATATATATATATATATAGACTTATTGTATTAATTAAATGATTTACATTACATTCAAGTTTTATACAATTATATGTTAATAGATATTATAATTCAATTGTCAACTATTTCTTTGTAACAAAACTTTCCGTTGAAATATAATTAGACAAAAGTCGTGAAAGTTTGCAAAAAAAAGTAATTAAAACAATGATTGAATCGCATCACTGATTGTATGTTTAAGACAAAGATATAGTGTCTTATATATGAATGTAGAGTCGAGAGCACCGGTATGTCATTATGTCATTATATAATGTCAAGGTTGTCATACATATACCTGTTTGAGTGATGTTGTCTTGTTGTGTAAGAGATGGTGCCATAGGATGTGATGGCTATTGTGTACAATGTTTTGAAAGAAGAGAAGCCATGTTTTGGTATACGTTTTGCTCTCATCTTAGGCTTCAATACATTGAATGCAATATTTTTATCAATATTAGGATGTCTTATGTCATAACCACTGGTGATCACAACATCTCCATTAAAACAGTAAATATTGGACATCATTGATGAGTTGGTCACCACTAGTTGTCCCCAACCGAAGCCAATGTGACCACACTTGAAGATATCCATCATATGAAAGACTAAACATTACATCACATGTAAGACAACAACTGATATGACATTTGCAGTCATATCTAATGTCTTGTCTTTTGATTAAATGTGATAATCGTTTGATATTAAACCACATTTGATGTCTTAAAGTGAATGAATGGATGCAATGAAATGAATGTCACATTTGTTTTGAAGAAATTTTTAATTGTTTTAAATTGATTGTTGTTTTGTCTGTGAATGTCATAAGTGGTTGTCTTCAGTGGTAGTCTTCAGTCATGCGAATGGTTTCCGACAAATCGAATCCTTTACTCACATCTTATATGTCGACCGCACTGTCCAACAGTTCATCGCAGAACAGCTCAAGAATCAAGAGATTGTCGAATAAAACAAAAACCAGAAAAAAGACAAAACATGAGAGAGATTCAGATGACGATCGGGACAAATGTTCGGACCATTTCCGTGAGGCCACACAACACCGTATTGTTAAAAGTAGTGACCGATGTGTCACTAATCGGTTGGTCGACACAAATGCTAACAACAAAAACAAAAGCGTGAAATCATTTGCTCGAAAACTGTCCGAAAGTGATAGCGAAGACTCGGATTCAGTGTCGAGTGTTTCCGAAATGGATAGACACGAGAATTGCGAGTTTTCGATCGTCAAAGAGTCCAACAACTCAAACATTGGTGCTCTTAAGCTTCGGATTGCAACCCGAAGAACAAATTCGGTTCCAAATAAAAAGTCTGAAGCAAATCATATTATATCGAAAAGACAACTGAGTGTCACTGAAGTAGTTTCCGGTGTAATCAATGAGCCCAATGATCATGAAGACCATGGAGTGGACTGTCAGTGTTGGAAACACGCGGGTAAAGGCAAACGACAACCGATTCCCATTAAGTTAAATCACAAACACAGACGTAAATACCGACAAAATGACAGCTCATATGACTCGAGTCGAAGTCGAAGCAGAAGTCGGAGTGGAAGTCATAGTCGAAGTGAGAGCAGAGACTCAAATCAGAGTTATTCTGACTGTTCTTCAAGAAGTTGTAGTACAAGTAGCAGCGGTTCATCATATTCATCATCTCACAGTTCCAGCAGTTGTCGCAGTTCCAGCTGTTCCAGCACTGGTTCCTCTTCAGATTCGTCGAGTGGTTCCAGTATTTCCGGTGATAGTGAGTCGTCAGACAGTGATATTGATTACAAAGGCGAGCACAGGAAGAGCTCAAAACAATCGAAAAGTACAGCAATAAATAATTTAAATAAAAGTGAAGACTCTTGTAATGGTTTGAAAGTAAATTCACAGAAAAATGTAATGCCATCGACACCATTATCTCAACCTTCTTCGGTTTCCTGTGAAAGTAGTTGTTATAGTCCAGCCATTAGTATAAATAGTCCAATGAATTATCAATCATCGATGAGTACACACAAGAAGAGAGATCCAGCAGAAGAAAGACAACGTTTGAGAAATTATCGAATTCCTCACTTACAGAATCGCGAGCGGGCGGTGACCACTAGTTCAAACACAACTGCTTCACAAAGCCATAAGAGTCCGGCAACGGTTACCGTTGCGGTTCAAGTGCAGACAGAAACTGAAGAGATGAAAGTGACAACAAATACTTCTAATAAATCTAAGTCTTTGTCAACTACGAAGAATCGTAGCGTTGGCACCGATACTCACAATACAAATAATGGCTATAAAAGCATAAATCGTAAAACGAAAAAATATAAAAAAGATAAAAATAATGAAACAAAGAGATCAAAATCTCTTTCAAACAAATCTAAAAAGTCTAAAACAAAGACATCTCACACAAAATGTACGGAACCGGTGCTTCATTCAACCGATCAGCTAAACTCTAAGATAGTCAGTGACGGCTATTCAAGTAAACATGTCTGTGGTAATTACGCTGCTATTTGTTCTGATATCGACAAAACTATTGAACAAATATCACCATTGAGTCAAAATTGTTCACTCATAAAGAAAAATACAGAAAAAACATCACTTTCTCAATCAGTTCCTCAAATAAACGATATTTCAAATATTAAATCGAGTCCTGAATCTCTTAAAAATGAAAAGGCATCATCTGATAGTGGGATCCAATCGCAAGGAGAGTCACCACATCGACATCTTTCTATTAGTGATACAGAATTTCTACCAATGGATGCGACAACTTCTCAATTAGAGCCAAATTCTCAGCAAATGTCAAACTCTAGACCAGTGAATACTCGCAACAAAAAACAAAAGAACAAATCATTAAAAGAGAAGAAAAACAAAAAGTTGACCAATAATTCACTTTTAAGAATAACCAGTGATATTAAAATTGATAAAAATCTAATTGATTTAGGAGTCAAAAGTGATTATTTTGACACCTCTTCACTGAATCATTCACTAAATCCAATGTTATCTCCGACTTCATCATTGACATCAAATGCTACAAATGTCGTTCAATTGACTGAATTATTACTCAACAATTCCAACCCAAATGATGCCATTATAGGTCAAACTAAGGACTCAAGAAGTCCTTTAAATTTTATGCCAATGATGAGCGCCAGAAATTATTTGCCATATCCTCGAAGTCATTCCAATTCAGGAGAACAGCCTTTTGTCAATCAAAAACGTGAAGATGACTTTGAACTTCTTGTTCGAAGTATTAAAGATTCAATTTGTTCTCAATTTCAGTCAAATGAAACTGAAGAACTTGAATTCGGACAGTTCAGTGTCACCAATAGTACTGATTGGAGACAATCATCACATGAGGGCAATAATAATCATAATATTTCTAATCAATTGAACGCTGATATGCCTTCATTTAATTTACGACAAAATTACAAGAAATCGATAGAGTCTTCTGATAAAAAGCGAAACAATAGATTAGATAAAAACAAAAAAGATTTGAAAATTGAAAAGAAAAGTCAAATTATTTGTGAGGAAGAGTCACAAAATAAACGATTAGATGTAAGGAAAAGTCGGTCTAAATCTAAGAAAAGTCAAGACAAACAACAAAACTCTAGTAAAAGTTCAACAAATTCTCAATCGACTCTTAATGTCTTTGAAGTACAAACAGAAGTAAATTATTTTAAGACGGATTTGCATTCGTTGGACGAATTGAATGGTGAAAGACATTTGAGTGATATAGTAATAAATAAAGACATCATAAATAAAAACTATATTAACCAAAGTAAACAAGAATTTCGACCCAAATCTGAGAAAATACGGCATTTGAGTCAATTATCACCACAAATGGGTTTTGCATTTAGGAGTAGTTCATTATCATCTCATTCAAGAAAACGCAAGAAACACAAGCGTCACAAAAGTAAAAAACAAAAGAGTGAAGTGAAACACAAAGAAAGCCATTTTGAGATGAGTTCTGAAGATATGTCACTAATAGAGAATCTCACGGAAGGCCTACAACTACTTAAGCCATTTGGCAAACGTATGGCTTTGAGTCCATCAGAGATTAAAGCCAAAGTGTTGCCAACGATATTCCAATTGACTAACTATTTAAAGAACATTAAGATTAACAGAAAACATCACCGAACATCTGAATCCAATCGAAATACTACACCGAAAAGTACTCCGAAAAGTACACCTAAAACTAATGATCAGAAATCTGTTCAATTGATCCATGAGTTAAGCGAAACGACAACGAAGTCTTCTACGTCTAAAAAATCTGGTAAAAAGAAATCCACAAATAATACAAATCAATCTGAAGTAGCCATTGATAAGAAAAAGGCGGAAAAGAAAAGTGAAGTAACCAACACCTGTCTTCAGACTCAGAACAATGGCTCATCCGGTGCTAATGAACAGAGATTACCATTGAAGAAGCGCCATCACCGACACATTGAGAGCAAACAGACCAATGTATCGCAAATGGCATTTTCTGTGACCAACACTAACAATCATCTTAACAATGGTCCTAATATTGTGACAAATTTGAGTGATATTAAAACAAATGTTAATTTAGTGGATCAAACAAATGAAATGATTAATGAAACTAATGTTGAGATGAAAAGGAAAACAAATATAAATTTGGTTACAAATGTTGCCGGAGTTTATAATCAGTCGAAGAACAAGAAGTCGATATCGAATGTAAGTCCAAAATTGAAATCAATGACCGATGGATACAGTGATTCAAAAGAATCGATAAATAATTTGCAAAATGTTTGTAAATCTGATACTTTAAGCGCTAAAAAGTCAGTCAATTCAAAGTCCAATAAACGTGAGATAAACACGAATAAAGTGAGGAAAGAGAGCTTAAATGTAGGCACAGTTATCTCACAAGTGGTGCATTCAAGTGCTGATAAGCCCAATACTAACTTGTCTGACGACTCTCTCAAATACAAGAGCTCATCGACAGCAATGACTGGCAGTACTCTGTTATGCGCACCTCTGGACAGTATAGCAAATAGTGATAGACTGACTGCAAATTCAAACGTTACGCCTATAGTTAGCGATAATGTCAATGAAAATGAAGGCAAAGAAGGCAATGAAGTGAAAGCGCAAAACTCTATTGAAGAGACAATAGAGCACTGCATCAGAAAGTATTCATCAGATGTTACCGAAACAAATGATGGCACCAATGATAGCACACACCTACACAACAACCAAATGGTCAAACGCAGGAAAATTGAAGATACCATCGATGACAAACATAATGTCGCCACAGACAGTAAACTAACCGATAAGTGTTTACCTATTTGTTCTACATTTGATAACATGAGGTCTAAAACCAATATGACATCAAAAGATAAGGAGACAACTTTAAAATCAGCAAAAATTAACAAAAAGCCTTTAATCGACAAAAAACTATCAAAGAATTTAAAGATCAAACAAACGGTAAATCAAGACTTGAAAACTAAGTTATCAAAGACTTGTAATACACGTGACGTTAAGTTAACGAACTCTAAGAATATGAAATCTGAAACTCAAGTGAAACAACAGATACAGGAATCGGGTGTCGGCTCTCATGATATCAAACCAAAAGCAACGAAAAGAAAACGAACCATTAATAAGACAGGATTTACAAAACCTCGCAAAAGAGTTCGTACAGATAATAATGGTAAACAAAATCAAGTGAAGACCGCAATTAATGGTAAACGAACTCACATTGAAAATAGTGATAATATTGAATTTGTGTCACATAAGAAAAATCCATCAATTGTTGCTAAAACTGCTATTTCTAGTCAAAGAATTAATAAGTGTGTGGTATCTGAGAAAATCACTCGAAATTGTAGTCATAAATCAAATAAAAGTGACACTACTTTGAGCAACAATAGTAAGAATAAAACAAAGAAAATGGATTCAGAAATAGGTGTCTTCCAAAAGTCTAGTACTCAACAAAATAAAAGGACTAATTGTTTAAATAAAAGTGAAAATAAAGAAATGAGTTCCTTATCTAAGAAGTTGACTAATATTAAACCATTAAAACCTGAACGGCGTTTGTCTAAAGCAAGTATTGACTCCCTGTCCTCATCAGAAGCCTATCTAAGTGAACAAAGCAGTGTTTCAGATGCACCGATATATATGGTTACTGAGCCATCAAACAAACAGAATATAGATCCAAATAAAAAACTTTATCGAAGTTTTCAGAGAAATCTTCCGTTTAAAAGATACTTAAAGTCTGGCAAATATTCAGATGATTTGACAAAAAATGATAAGACTTGTATAAATAGTGAGAAAATTGACAAAACAAGTGATGACCAAAATTCACAGTTAAGTTTGACTTCTGATGATCTAAAATCAGACAAAATAAATGACGAACAAAAGTCTGAGAAAATTTCTGGCGAAGAATCTGAAAGTATAACAACTAAAGAGGAGACTAAAACTATTAACAAATTGATTCAAATGCCTGAATTGGATTTTACTGAACCCGAAGAGTTTTTATTACCATATGATGTTTGGTATCAATACGATAGACAACAGGCTTTAAATCTGTCGAATCCATCACATTATAAGCGAATTAAAAACAATATATTCGTTGACGTGAAGCCAATCACTAGATATCCGATGCAAAGCTGTATGTGTAAAAAGCCCGATCCATCAGATAAAGAGACTAAAAGTTGTGGCGCTGATTGTCTTAATCGTCTTATGTATCAGGAGTGCTCACCACAGACCTGTCCGGCCGAAGATTATTGTCAAAACCAGAGAATACAACGACGTCAATGGAGTCCTGGTTTAGATCGGTTTATGACATCTAACAGAGGTTGGGGTATCAGAACCACTGAACCCATTAAAAGCGGTGATTTCATACTTGAATACATCGGAGAAGTAGTGAGCGAACAGAAATTTAAGGACCGTATGGCCAAAGTCTATAAAAATGATGTCCACCACTATTGCCTTAATATTAACTCAACGATTGTCATCGATGGCTATCGTATGGGAGACGAGGGACGCTTTGTTAACCACAGTTGCGAACCTAACTCCGAGATGCAAAAGTGGTCAGTTAATGGTGTTTATAGGATTGGATTATTTGCCTTAAGAGACATTATGCCAAATGAAGAGCTATCTTATGATTATAACTTTGATAACTTCAATATCGAGACTCGACAGGTCTGTAAATGTGGAAGTACTAAATGCCGCCGATATATAGGCGGACGATCACAACGGGGCAACTCTTCAGCAAATAAAGATAAAGATAATAGTGATAAAAGTGATAATACATCAGCTAAAGAGGTCACACTATCACAATCATGAAATTAGATAATTAAATGTTGTTAACAAACAATATAAAGACTGATTAATTTTTATAGCAAATTATTTGATTGTTTATTTGATAAACTGATATTCACTCACATATTGAAATCACACTCAAACACAAAACATGTAATATATGTATTGTATTATACAGTTATGCCATATATTTAATTCATTGTCATAATTAAGAATTGCAATCTTCTTGAGCACCATTCAACAGGTGGCCCATAACGGGGTCCCCTCTAAGGGATTAATCACATAATTCACTTTATCATCAAATATATCATAATTTGCTTAAAATTATGTCTGCTTTTTAAATGAATCAAATTATTATTAATATTAATATTATGTAATCTCAATGACAGTGGTCTCTCCTACTATTGGGCCGATTATTTTTATGACATTTTAAATTATTACAAAATTAGTGCAATTATTACTATATGTAAACTTTACTGTTAGACTTATAATATAAAATAGTTTGTTGAATATTTCTATATATCAGTTCACCCCTTCCTCTATTGTCGTATCAAATGAAATCAATTTTATGCATTAATCTGTATTTTAATTTATTTAGTTGTAAACTATAGACTTTATTGACAAACAATTTGTAAAATAGTGTCATTATATAGTACTACTGTTTCCCATTAAAATCCCCGTCAGATAACCTGTTGATTCATTTAAAAATCACTAATTTTTAATTATTGCTATAATTTTATTATTTATAATTTAATAAATTGCGACAACAATTGTATTATTCTATGTTAGACACTTTGATTAGTGAAGATATATTTATTGTATATTTAATTAAAAATACTTCACAATCAAAGTAATAGTTTTCGTTGAATTTTAAAAAATAAATTATTAATTATTAAAATATTAATTGATGTTAAAATCATTTAATTTATTTAGATGCTATTATTTACGTTACGTTTGTGGTTCAATAAAATTCATAAATTAAGTAATTATAATTTTAATATTTATTTTTTATCATTTTTTTTTAACAATTCATATACAGATTTGTTTAAAAAAGATAATGATTTTTTGGCCAAATGATTGATTGATTAGAAATATGAAAACATTTATTACATATATATTTTTATAATAAACATTTAACAATAATATCAATTATTGATGTGTGAATTAATTATAGATTTAAATTTTGAGTAATCAAAATTTGGTATTGTTTTTATGTAATTTTAGTAAATTTTTTTAATTTCACATTTAAAATACAATTTTTGTCAAATTGCAAAATAACTTAAATAATATTAATAATAATTGATTAGTAATATATTATTATTTTTAAGGCGATCACAGATTTATAATTTGGTGAATACGAAGTAATTTAACAATAAATTTACTGTTAATGTCTCAAAAATTGAGAATAAAATACAATAGTTATCTAATGGTATCTTAAATTTGTTAATTTTACATTAATTTTTACAATCTTTTATATAATTTAGTCAACGATTAATAACCATTATTTAAATTCTTTTACCCGCTCTTACACTTATATTATATAACTCACACAATTGGATAATAAGTAATATCCGATTTGTTATATAAAAAATTTATAATAGATATTATGAGAAAAGTTAATATTAAATACAATTTGATTTATATTTTAACAAATTTGTTGAATATGTAAAATCTGGGATAATTTGTTATTACTATATATTTATACAATAATGGCTTAAGGCTTTACAATATGTGTGCTTTTTTAGGGTGAAGTGGTATTATGTGTTGGTTTGGTGTGTTAGGCCACGGGTTAAGACATTTAGATTAAATTGGCTTTTATTGTAATGTTTTATATGAAAATAAAATAAAATGTTATGTCATTTTGTCATTTATATATATTATGTTTTCTGTACATTATATATAAAGTATATATATATATATATATATATTCTGTATTTATATAATAATTGAAAGACGTTTTGTCCATTTGTAACTTTAGGTGCTTTTTATGCATTTATATCATACATATATAACACCAGCATTTGTTACACACTAATACTACTACTAATAATAATAATATTTATATATTATTATAATATTGTACATTTGGGGATATGAAAGCAAAAATTAATTAATTTTTAACTAATCATATACACATACTAATAATTTACAAAATTAATAATAAATCTATTAATTTACCTTGATAAATTTGGTAAATTAACAACAGTATTATATTATGTATGAATTGATATTTGTTCAAATTATAAATTAATTTATGCATTTATGTATATTAAGCGAAATAATTTATTATCTTAATACATATTAATTATTTAATTATTGGAATATTTTAAATATAATTTGCACTATTTTCTTATTAACAATAATAAAATTAAATATAATTTCAGATAAAAATGTAGAAATAATATTGTGATTTTATTTATATAACTATCTGTAATGAATCAACAATTGATGAATACTATTAAATATATAGAAAACGGGATTTTTCAATGAGTTTTAAGGAAGACTTTAAGTTTTAGTAACTTATGTTTTGTTTTTAATATATTGTTTTGTTTGTGTAGATATTTAATTTCTTAGCAATCATTAATTAAGTAAATTAACTTAGAGTTTATATATTATTTAAAAAAAGATGACAACTTTATAAAAACACGAAAACATTATTGAAAAGATAAACATATAAATTTGATAAAATACAATCTAATTTATATTTTTGAAATTTTATACTTAATAAAAATTGCTCTATGTTTACGAAATATACATATTTTTTGAATTTAAACAATAAAATATACAATTTTGTTGCTTTCATTGTATTTGTTTAATAATTATCTTATATTTAATAAATCAGTTAACAATTTATTGTTATCTTTGGCTGCACTTCGAAGGGCTTCGTTTAGCTTTATATTCAGTATTTAATCAAATCTATGAGTTCTATATAATTATAATATATAATTAATAATTAATAATAATAATAATACATTTATAAATAATGCTAACTTTAGAGTATCAGATAATTATGGATAATGATTAATAAACTTTTAGTAATTTTAATAAAATGTTATATCATACTATTATATTTATATCAGTATACACTGTATATCTATTAAAATTATTATTAAAAATGAAATTTTTTTAAAATGACTAATTAAATCATTAACACAACTTAATAATAATATTTAAAAAGTAAATTATAAAGAATACATTTTTAATAACATTGTGATGAAAAGTTTATTAATCACATCTCATAAATGCATTTTCTGAATCAACAAATAATAACAGATTAATAAATAGATATATATATATATATATATATTTACATTAATTTCAATAGTGAGTTAAATATATTTCTTAAACAATAAAACAATGCATTATAATCGACTTAAATCTAATTACAATAGATTTCAGTTTTAATATTTATCTATTCATATCATTAACATCTATACATAACATAAAACTGTGCATAACTTGTAGTTTATTACTGTTATTAACAAAATTTAAAAAAACAATAAACTACTAATAATAAATCATAATACAGATGAATCAAACTGTATTCTGATTACTAAAAATATGTTACCAATATTAAGGTTATTATTTTGAATATTTTTGTATAAAATCATCCAGGTTTATTTAAATGGTGTGTTTAAATATAATAATGTAATAAATAATTATATTAAATGTTTATATTAAATTATATTACATTCTTACCATTAATAATAATAATAATAATAAAGTCAAACGTAATAATTAAACAACTGTTGATTGAATGATGTATTAAGAGGCAGAAGAGTAATGCGATGGAGAGCTACCTCCAGTTGTGCTCATTTTGGTGCCTAAACGAGACAGTCGTGGCTCCAGACATAATGACAGTTGGTATAGCTCTTCATCAAACAGATGTCTGGATGTGTCCAACAAATAATTTGTCACTTTTGGGTTGTGTTCGATCTTATACGGCGTTTGTTGAAAATGTCTGATTTCTCTAATTACGTGAGCAATCTATCAAAAAATCTAAGTTAATATTTGTTGGTTAAAAATGAACAAAAATGTCAAACCATTCGCATTTTGGAGAAATTGAGAAGTCCTTCTTCAGTGAAATTAGGAGTTCCCTCTTCAATGAATGACAGATCAGTCAAATACATGCCTAAGTATGGAATACACGGCGGATCACATCTGTGTAAAGCTTCTCTCATATTCCGGAAGCGACCATCAGTTGAGACCAATGTTTGCAATTTGTCTATTGTTTGCTTTGTCTGATTTAATGATAAAAATTGATGCAAAGAAATCAATGACAAAATTATGTAAATCACAAAATTGTTAAAAATATCGATTCCTTACCGTTTTGCACACCTTTTCCCACGTTCTCTTCAATCTGAATACCGATGAATTGGTAAATGCGGCACATATTTGAAGGACACCATTGAAGTTATGCAGACACCGACAGATATCTGCAACTGCGGCCCACTTCTCAATAATGGCAACTCTTTTAGGAATTTCCGGAACTCTCATGATTTCAGAGGCCACTAACCGACTGATGTCATTGAAGTGTCGGGTCATCAGTAAAATATGGAATGCTTTAGTCGTCTGATATAATAATTTTAATAAATAATATTAAATGAATGCTATAATTAACAGATGAATGATTTGATACCTTATTTTCCTTCATCCACGCCTGACCTAAGAATTCTTCGCTTTGAATCCTAACAAATATCTTATGATCCAAATAAGTCATCACTTCTGCGATCTCAAGAGCCGATAGAGTCTCGATGTTGTCTTTGGAAGCAGCGAGTGGTGGGGACAGTAAGACATCCAAATCAATCTTATCTTTAATCTCAAGCGTATGTTTTGAGATCATTTGTAACAGCTGTACGGCTGCTTTGTGTTCAGCCGGCAATAGGCTTGTGTTGTGGACTAACTCTTCAAGAAATTCAGTTGTTATTTGTAAGAGTTTTGGGTCGTTCTCGAAGTCCTGGGAATGTTTGCTAACCCAATGTCTCAATACATTCAATACTCTCATTGTCGCCGCTGTACTAATCATTGATTCTCTCTTCACTCGATTAGAGTTTGGTATCTTAAGGTCAGTGCCGACAGCACTTGGAAGACGACTGTTGGCCCGAGACTGTGGTAATGATTGTTTCGTGTGATCCATTGGTTCCGGAGGATTGCTCGACGCAGCCGTCGCCACAGCAAATGCTACAAAATGTTATCATTTCATTAATTATTTGTTTTTATTTAAAATAATTATTTCAGTTATTAATATAAATTTTGAAATTATTTAAAGTTTAAGTAAATATATTATATGATAATATTGTAAATATTGATAACTACATTATTTTACTATTTATTTAGTACTTCACCCAAAATTTTAACGTATATTAATAATTATCATTTAATTTGATAATTAGTCTATACTATAGACTCTATAGTAATTCATTTACTTATTTGGCTTATTTATCACATAATAATTAACAAAACTAAATAATCATAGTTAGGTTTGTTTTATTACAAAAATATATACATGTACTATAATCAATATAAATTTATAGACATTATAAATTACTACACTAAATAATTAAAATTTTATTTTATTAATAAAGATATTTATAGTTTGATTAATTTTAAAAATTATATAATACTAACTCAAAATAATATTTTCCTAAATTTTTAAATTGGTTTACATTAACTATTCACTAAAATTTTACATTTTGAAGGTCAAGATTGGGTTCAATTGAAATGTCAAACTAATAATTAAAATATAACATAACATTCTTTACATTTATTTTGTTATATTTTTATGCTATTTAATTAAATTTAATAACATAAAATAATATAAATATTATAAAATAATATAAATATTATAAAATAATATAAATATTATAAAATAATATAAATATTATAAAATAATATAAATATTATAAAATAATATAAATATTATAAAATAATATAAATATTATAAAATAATATAAATATTATAAAATAATATAAATATTATAAAATAATATAAATATTATAAAATAATATAAATATTATAAAATAATATAAATATTATAAAATAATATAAATATTATAAAATAATATAAATATTATAAAATAATATAAATATTATTATTATTATTTATGGTTATTAGTAAACTCAAGCGCTTACCTGAAGCTGCAGATGCAGTGCTGGATCTTCTGCTGGATGCTCTGGAAGAGGTGACAACAACACCAGCTTTACTGGTCATCTGTGGTGAGTCCGGATGTTGGAATGAACTGCGAGGTGTACTTAATATAGTGGTGTCGGTTTGAAATGAACTTCTTGGTGTAGTTGACTGACTGGCCATACTTTCAGTTTCACTACTACTGCCACGTTTACTGCCAGCACCTCTCACTCTTAAATAGTTCATAGCTGTAGAACTTGTAGTACTGATTGTACTGAGCCGTCCTGTCGGTGCTGACATTGGTTTTGTGGATTGTGTTTGAGCTTTTGATGGCATTACAAAACTGGTGCCGACGCTAGAAATTGGTGGCGTTTGGGGAGCGGTTTGCTTTGGTGTTTGTGGTGGTGTTGATGGAGATGTCTCTTCATTATGATTGGTTAGATTTAAATTATCTATCGGTGGTAACCGAACAGGTGCTGTCTTTTTAATGGGACTTGGCTTTGGTGAACCACTTTTACTATCACTTCCCACTAATGTTGCAGAACTTGTTGCAGAACTAAGCGGTGAATTTGGATAACTTTGGTCTGCAGTCAGTGTATCGCATGACTGTGAGTGCACCGGAACCTCAAGACTCTCAGATTGGATACCCGTTCGAGGAGTTTGTTCGTTATCAGTGTCTGAAGAATCACTACTTGTCTATAATAAATAGAAATATATATTTTGATTAAATTTTACTAAAAATTTATATTTTTAAAAATTATTTCATTATATTATTCTATTTATTTGCTTTATTAATGTTTATTAAAATATTTTCCTCAAAGTCTTTTTAAGTAACATTTAAGCAAACATTTTAAAGTATTAAATTATTTATCGTATAAATTTATATGAATAATAAGTTTTAATGTGTAATTGCAATATATCATATTATTATTAATGTTAATTATATTTAAGCTTTATTAATAACTATTTATTTTAAGTATTAGAATAATGTTAAAAAATATGCTAAAAATATATATTATAATAAATGTTAATTTTGCAAATTTTATATATTTAATATTTTCTCATTATTCTACAGTATAGTAATAATTAACGGTATTTTACTTTTAAATTAATATGTAGTCTAATTGATAGATTTGGATTGTTTTCCATATTTCCATATTTGTATTTATATTTTATATTTAAGAATTTAAATTTAAGAAATTATCATAAAGTTTTATTATGATAGTACTGTAGTGCATAACTGTATTATTATATTAAAATTTATGTAATATTAATTAATTTCATTAATATTTTTCATTTTCTCATTACGATTTATTTAGTTTTTAAAAAAAATTATATATCTGATTTGAATTTTTAAAGTTAAGACATGTTTTAATTAAATTATAATATATTATGACATTATTGCAATATACAGTATATCATATATGCTATATATAAATATTCATAAAATACTGTACATAAAATTTAATACAATAAGAGTCATATTTTGTGATTATTTATAAGTATTTAAAAAAGTCTTTTTCAAACAATTATTTGTATACTGTATAATAAAACATAATTGTACTGTACAATTTAAATAAATATAGTATATTAATTTATAATAACAAATAACAAAAATCGTATAAAAATGTTCGTTTTATTAAAAATTTTATAAATTATCTTAAATTTTATTATATATTCAATATATCTATAATAAAGAAAAATATTTCAATAATAAAGTCTCTGTATCTTTTGATAACAGTAAATAACACATTTTTTGCAGGCAATTAATGAATTAGTAGATTAATGAACATTTATATTATTTAAATTGATTAATCGCTAATTATATATTTTTAAATATCTAAATATCACTATTTTATAATTTTATATAATATATAATTAAAATTAAAATTTTAGTTAATTTTGTTGTCACTTTTTACATATATTGTAGTATTTTTTATTATAATTGTATAATGTTTCATTGTATTTATTTCTAGTATATCTATTAAATTAAAAATAAAATTGACTGTCATAATATGTAAAAATAGAATATATATTTTAAAATTGTGTATTTTATTCATTTTTATAAGTAATAATTAATTTATTATATGTTTTGGTTAGATATTTAATTTATTTTTATTTATATAACTTTATTATCATTATTTATAAGTTATGATTTAAACATAAAGTTAAAATAATTTTAATATTATTAAAATTTTAATTAATTATAATTAATTACAAGTGCAAAGAACAGAATCTTCATTTTCTGTAATTTTATAAATTTATAAAATTGATATAAAAATATTTTACAAATTTACAGTACAACTAATTTTTTTATATATGTTATATATATATAATTATTAAAAAAAATATTTGACTTACATTTTTAAGAGGAGTTCGATGTTGAAGTGCACTGTTGTCGCAAATGTAGGGCACCTCTGGAGATGGAGGGGGTGGTACTGGCACTTGAATTGGATCAATAATTCCCGGCGATAATAGAGGACCAGAAGGATAATCAATTGTACTACAAATGCTTCCCTGAAGATGACTTCTATCACCTAATCTTCTAAGATATCTATCTCTTGCCTGTTCTTCTTCAACTGTATTACAAATTGATTATTAATTATATAATTAATAACTAATTTTTTTATTTAACTTACATTTTCTGTAACTGAGTCTCCAATGTTGGCTATTCCTCACAGATTGGTTAAGCATAGTCTGAGTCTGTATTTGATTCAATTGTTGGCTCGCAGTGGACTCGGAATTAGACACAACTGATTCGCGGTGAAGATCATTGATATCAGTAATCATAGATCCGGTGCTAATTCTTCGCGAGTAGTCGTAGTCAACGGTGCAAAGTAAGTCAGATCCGGTCACTAACTGAGATTGTCCTTCGGCTTTAGTGGTGGTCTGGATGTCATCCAAAGAACCAGTTGAGTCATGAAGTGATGCCAATGTATTTAATTGTGATTCTGGATTGTAGTGAACTTTTTTCAGTGCTTCTAATACAGTGACGCCATCAGTAAAGACACGATATGTCAATAGAAAAGTGTTGAGAAAATCTATGCTTAAGAAGCGTAAGTCTGTTAAGCGTTCAAACAGTCGTTCGGGACTCGCGTAACGAATTTGCGGTAATTTACACGAGTTTAGGGTTCGACTAAAACGGATGTCCACATCGTCTTTGAAAAGTCGCGGATCATTCCTATCAGATAATAGTTTGCATATATTTTACATTTATTTAACTCATATCTCATGATTTATAATTTTTGATAAATTCTAAGACAATACCTAATAGAGTGAGGCATTGTTACCGATGAAGAATCATTCATTGTTCCGTGAAATAGATCGTTGAAATGCACGTTATCTATACACTGTTCACAACATTAGACACAAATTATTAATATTATACAAATTAAAACACAATTTAATGTCAAACGATATTTAATTTGCAATATAATTTTATAAAACACAACTCATTAATAATATATGTTTAACGTATATTTTAAATGAAATATAAAATTTATTATTTTTAAAATAAATATTAAATAAAATAATTTGTACACAATGTATCTGAACAATTAATTATAATTAAATAAACATTAATTGAAAGCAATACACAAACATATATACTGTATATACAGATATTCCTTAATATGTCAAATGATATATAGCTTGTCTCTCACTCCCATAGTTTTGTACAAATATATAGACAAGAATTTAATTAAAATTTCTTCATTCATAAAGTATATAATAAATAATCAAAAATATAAACTAATAAAAACTTTTAAAATAGATATTTGTCTAAATAAATTCAGTTTTTATTTAAATGCAATCACTGTCATCAAAGTGTTGTCCACAAGTGAGACAATTAAAAAAACAGACAATGCATTTGGCAATCATATACTGATGTCATATATTTATATACGGTATAGTGATGGCATCACATAAATTGCAAATAAACATACATTCAAAAGTCCATATTTCTTGTCGATTGTGAACATAGCAACCATACGCTATGTATGTATAGAAAAGAAAAGATACTTCATTTCGATTAATGTTTGCATCAATAGAGTAAATGAGGAGAGAGATAGAGATAGAGAGAGAGAGAGAGAGAGAGAGAGAGAGAGAGAGAGAGAGAGAGAGAGAGAGAGAGAGAGAGAGAGAGAGAGAGAGAGAGAGAGAGAGAGAGAGAGAGAGAGAGAGAGAGAGAGATGCCAGTGTCGTCAGATGAAAAAATCAATAAAATAGTTGCATATAAAGGCACTGGCTTTAGTCGCACACATTTTATACCTTATTTATGATTGTATAACTTATACCGTATATATATATAATTTATACCTTAAACCATATGTATGTATTTAACAAATAATGTTTTCGTGTGATCTAAACGCTTATACAATCACATTATGTTTGTGAACCGATACACAAACAATAAAATGTTAAACATTAAAATTGAAATCAACTTTTACTCTAAACTATATTCTAATCACTGATTTTTAAAAACTTATTTTGAATACTTAATTCTTAAATTTAATAACAGGCAATGAAACATAAAGTTTTGTATAATATATTACTAATTACACTAAAATATGTTCAATTATAAGTTTTTAGAGATTAAAAAATATATTTGTAGCTTTCAAACTTTATTTATATAAATAAATTACTCTATTATAAACCTTTATGTAAAATTTAATATCAATTTTATAAATAAGACTATTTATCAATAATGACTAATATTATTAGTATTAATAATAACTTAAGAATGACTATCAAACTAATTATTATTAATTTTTAAAGTTTACTTTAATTAATATGATAATTACTAAAATTTTAGTATTTTATATAAAAACTTATATAAATTTAAAATATGTAAACTTTAAATAAATTTTTAAAGTTTATGATATGACGTAAAAATTATTTTAAAATTTACAGATTAAACAAAATAATTATACAAATTTTAATTATAAGCATTAAACTATTAATATAATGATTAATTAAATAGATATTCAATTTTTATTTGCAATATGTATTGTAAAAAGTAATATTAAAGAAAATTCAATTTTTATACAGTATTGCATTCAATTCAATAACTGGCATTTTTTTGCAAAATTGTATTTAACATAAATATAATATAATAAATAAAAATTTTGAGTCAAATTTCAAATAAAACACATTTTTATAATATGAGAGATATTAAATATAAACATATGCTCTAATAACTTTGACATATTTTATTTAGATAAATAAAATTTATAAACTATATAATTTATAAAGAAAATTAACTTTAATTTACTGAAAATAAATATTGTTGAATTAAATCAATAATATAAAAATTATTCATAAGTTAAATGTATTAAAAATACTTGTCATTTAAGTTTTAAAATATTTAATATAATTGTTGCAATACAACAATGTATTGCCAAAAAGTGTCATTTTCGACTAAACTCTCCATAAATTAAAAAATATATTTAAATATATTAAATATAATTATTTTAATAAAATAAAATTAAAAAGTAATCCAAATTATGTAACATATAATTTAAGACATATATAGAGAGCATTTCACAAAATTGATTCATAATTTAATTTTTATTCACAAAAATATATTATGATCAATGATTTAGTTAAAAATTAACTAAAAGTCAATTTTGTCAAAAGCTATGTAAAAGTAATTTAAGATTAATTAAATAATTTATTTAAAAATGTTTGGTCGAGTAAATGAAATGCAAACCTGACTGATATCTGAAGTCCAGGCGGCCTTCTCTTGCATTGTCGGGGCCACCAAATGCAATGTTGTTGGCTGTCCTGTCTTGGAATCGATAATTATCTTAAAATCAAGTCCTCCATAATCTTTGCCTCCAGTGCTTAATCCGACAGATGCCGGTTGGATACCCGTCTCACTCGAATGACTCGACGCTGAACTAAGAGATCCCTCTGAAATATGACAAACACTTTATATTATTGATTACATTCAACGGTTGAGATTATATTGATATAGTAATAACAAAATAAGACATTTAATAGACTAATCACAAGATAGCAATACCTCCATCGTCTACAGTAAACTGAAACTGATCGTTGGGATCCTCTATGAGTGTGGCCTCAGATAATGGGATTTTGCCAAATCCCTAAAAATACAAAATATAATTTTATTTATTTTTATCATGAATAATATAATTTATTTTTACCATTAATAATATAATTTATTAAATTAATATAAAAGTCACCTCAAGTAAAGTTAATTTTCCTCCCGAAGTACGGGTGCATAAAAGCATGTGATTTGTAAAGAGATAGCATTGACGGACAATCTCTTTGTCGCCTCGAAATGAACCAATTCTTGACGCCTGAAACTTACGTTTATCGGATCCCAATACCTGAATAACACTGCCTTTCCTTATGAATACATTATTGACATCCAGTATTATATCACATCCGCCGACAATTATCCTCTCAATCGCCAAATTATTTCTTATATTTTCCGTTTCGCTCACTTCGTCGTGCATTTGCTATAAAGTAATAAATATGTCAAATAATACACTATTTTAATCATTTAATTTTCTATATATTAATACATGAACAACTATATAATTAATAGATATAAAGTTTAAATATAATTTTTGAAAACATGTTTTTAATAATTAATTAATATATCTATTTTGATTTTTAAAAATAACTGTTTCTTAATATTTAATTATTCTGAATTTATTTATTTTTTTGCAATTAACAGTATGAAAGTAATAATTACTTGTAAATATATATAACATTCATTTTTATTAAACACTAATATTGAATGTGCATATAAAAATATTTAATATATTTATTTAAAATTTAATTTTTATCAAAATTTTACATATTTTAAAAAATAATTCACTAAATAATTTTAAATGGTCAAAAAATATTGTTTTAAAAAATAAATTTTGTTATATAATATTGATAAATTAAAAAATACGCTATTAATCCCTATAATAAATTTATTTACAATATTTGCAATATATTGTAAATCAATTTAGTAATAAATATGTTTGAATACTAAAGACATGTATGAATTAAAATAAATTTTAAGTTATTTATGTGTAAATTGTTATAAAAACATTGTTCAATAAAATGAGAAATTCAATTAGCATAAAATAAAAGACAAATTGAAAAAACTAAATAATAATCATTAATTATTATTATTATTATTATTGTTAATATAAAAACATATGAATGTCAGACCCGTGAGAGTTCTTCGAGTTTGATCCGAGCGTTTTCCAGACTTTTTCTCTCCACGTGATTATGTGGTGTATGAGCCAGTAATTCATGTAATGTTATTATATAACGGGGGACCTGAAAATGTAATGATACAAACATTTTAAATAATTGATTAGCGCTTACACTTACACTTTACACCAATGCAATTATACTAGTATTACAAAAGTAATTCAATGCGACTCAAAAACTAAATACTATAACATAACAATTTATAGGATTGTAAAGTTTCATATGATTTTTGATGGCTTTATCTTATTTTATATGTTAAGTCATTTATTTATTTATGTACTGTATATACGTTATATTATTTTGTCATTAAATGTGTAAAAACAATAATAACATTTTTATACTATACCTGATGCATGGGATATGTTAGAAATGTTTCCAAAGTTCGGCCTGTAATCAATTAATCATAAATTTAGTTCACATTTTGTTATCCATATGATATTTTATAATTTAATATAACATTATTATATTTAATTGCTAATTTATAAAATAACAGTATTTTTATATAATAATTTTTTAAATATTAATACAAAATTATTGCTTATACCTATAATATGCAAAAATTATTAATTAATAACTATTTTGTTGAAAAAATAGATTTATAAAAATTTGTTATTTTATAAATTATAATAAGTAAACTATAAATATTAAATTTATTTCATCTAATAAAAGTAATGATAAATATTATAAAATTTATTAGTTGTTATTAGTTATTACTTATTATTAGTTGCAATTACATATATAATTGTATTTTGACTTTTATTTGATTTATTTTTCAAAATACAATTCTTTATGAATTCTATAAAAATTATTAGTTTATTCATTAAAAATCAAATTTAATGACTTATTTATTATTAATTTTTATCACAATCTATATCAGTATCATAACTATATATTTAAAAATATTTATGTAAATAAATATTTATAACATTATTAAATTAAATCAATAATTATAAATCAAAATAAACATTAATGTCAAAATTTTTATTCTCCATATATTGTTAGAGATGAGCAAATACAAATTTCTAATAAAGTTCTCAGGGAAATTTATTAGAATATTTCTATAGAAATTTTACTTTATTATTAAATTATGGGATCCCCATATCTACAGGCTATAGTTATTATAATGATATATTAGCGATACATAATAATAATACATATATACTATTGTATTCACTAAACTACTATACAAATGGGATCCCTATATACTGTATAGGGCTAAGTAAAGGGGGTAAAGATGTATGGCAAAAAATATTACTTAATTTATTTTATGTTTTAATACATATTTAAATTGAATTATTTACTAAAACTCAGTAAAATAGTTTAATTTAAGTTAAAATTAACCTAAATATAACAGTATTAAAAAATTATGTAATCGATAACTTAAAAATGAATTATTTACAAAAAAAGTAATAGTTATAATTAGAATAATATTTTAAGATAATTAATATAATAATAATAAATTATACTGTAAATTTTATTATTTTTACTAGCATTTTAGTCAGATTTATTTTTATTATTTATAATTTTAATTAAATTCAGTTTTTATGAATTTAAGAAAATATTTCTAAAATTTAAGAAAATTATTGTTAATATTGTATTGCATTCCTTGGAATTTCCCCCCATTTATAGGGAATTTTTTGTTGACCCATGAATTTTGAAATTTTGAAAAATCTGTTGTCTAAAAATGTAATAAAAACCTCACTCTATATCCCAATATTTTTTCGAGATTTTTAATTCATTTTATTCCACTCTATATCCCCTAAAATCTAAAATATAGCTAAACTCTGATATATATATATAATTATGGCATTTAATTTTTTATTCATTAATTAATTATATTTTTAGTTTAATGTAATTAAATAGAGTAAGTTTTGTACTTTATTTATTAATTATAATACTAAAAATAATATTTAATTATTACTTTTAATTATAATTTAATTTTACAAAATAATAAATATCAAGATAACAATTAATATTCGGATCTCATTGACAGAAATTTCTTTTAGAAACTTTCTAGAAATTTCTTTATAATTTTAATTTTTTTTCAAATGTATATATACAGTATATAACCTCATATATATACTGTACATGTAATAAATTAATATTTAGTTTAAAATATAAAAAATATATTATATTATATTTAATGCTTTATATATTTGTATTCTCTTTGTTTAGACTAAGTATTTAAATTTTGATATTTTTACTAAAAAACTAATTATTAAAAGATTAGTAAAAATATTTTAAAAATCATAATGTGATACAGTTATAGCCAATTGGGAATCAACTTATCTAACCGTTTGTTATGTTAAGTGAATAGAAGTCTGAAAAAATATATTGACGTCAATTGAAAAGTAATGCTTTATATAACTGAATACAAGCAATGGTTTGTTGACAGCAAATATTGTACACACAATGAGACAGACAGACAGACAGACAGACAGACAGACAGAAAGAGAGAGAGAGAGAGAGAGAGAGAGAGAGAGAGAGAGAATTTTAGTGTAAATGATAGATAGGTATACATTGAAAACAATAAATAGTATTTCTTAAGAGACAAATATTTAATTTTTCATCACAAATGTGAAGTACAGTATAATCTAAGTACAGTACATAGAAAATGTTATTTTATATAACAATTTAAAAGTATTTCATAAAGTAGTTTTACTATTACTATTACTATTACTATTACTATTACTATTACTATTACTATTACTATTACTATTACTATTACTATTACTATTACTATTACTATTACTATTACTATTACTATTACTATTACTATTACTATTACTATTACTATTACTATTACTATTACTATTACTATTACTATTACTATTACTATTACTATTACTATTACTATTACTATTACTATTACTATTACTATTACTATTACTATTACTATTACTATTACTATTACTATTACTATTACTATTACTATTACTATTACTATTACTATTACTATTACTATTACTATTACTATTACTATTACTATTACTATTACTATTACTATTACTATTACTATTACTAAATTAGTAAAATACAAACCTTGTAGTACACCCTTGTCTTCGAGTCTCCTCAACATTGCTGCAAATTTTTCTCTCTGTTTGCATTCAGCCAATACCTGTAGACTGAAGTGATGATTGCGGACATACTCTTGATATATGGATAGCATAGGCAGCAACATATCAAACAGGTCTCCTATACCGTTGGGACAAAATGCAAGAAGAGTTGCACATAAATGCTAACATGAAGTTATCTACTCTCTACTCATTGCAAATGGGATGCATATGTGAGGTGCAGTTACTTATAGCCGCATACCTAATACTAGAGTTGGCCAGCACTCCATACGAGCCGTCAAACCTTTAAGAAATATCTGATGCAAAAACATAACGGTCTCACTGTTCAAAAATATTGAGTTGACCTCATCGTGACTGCACGGAGGCTTCTGACTTGAAGCTGACATCTTAAATGGTCTCAAATAACACGATACCATTAGATGCAATTGTTCCAAATATTCCTCCTCAGCTTCAACCATACGAAATACCAAACTTTAATAGATTTCAAATAAATTAATAGATTTCAATAATTTTATAACAATTAATTATATATATTTTATATTTTTAATACTGTATATTATCAGTTTAATTGATAAAAATTGGCTTTAATTTTAAAATAGAAATGTAAAACACTAATATAATATATAAATTATGTCACTTAAAATTCTAAAAATTAATTAAATAAAATTAAACTATTAATATAATAAATTTAAAGAAAATATCATTTAATAAGAAGTCATATAAAAAATTGTTGACAAAAAATAATTTAGTAAAAAACATGAGAAACATAACATAACAGAAATATCTTTGTGTTTGTAATGATTGAGTAAAAGAAAATAAATATAAGTCTTATAATGTGAATATTATTGTTGTCAATGATGTAGTTTTTATATTATAGGATATAAAATGATGAGTAACTATATAATGTTAGAAATGGTGTAAATAAGTATATGTATGTATGTGTGTGTATATATACTATATATACGTATGTATGTGTGTGTATGTATGTATATGACATACCTGTTCCGTTTTCTCATGTTCTCTGCGTGTGGAGAATTGATATATTCAATGACAATCTGTTTCCATCTGCGTCTGCAAAGCCATCCCCTGAAAAAACTCTGGACTTTCTTTATTTTGCGGATCTCTTCGCTGTCCTCATCCAAACTCAAACTTCTGTTTGGTGTTAGTCTCCACTCGCGCTTTAAAGTCAATAACTGACAAACATATCACTTATTTTTAAAAAAACTCTTATATTATAATAATTAATAAAAATATAAATAAAAATTATAAAAATGTAGGTATAATTAATAAAATAAATTAGTGATTTTGATAATAATTTATTAAAAATATAATAATTTAACTATTTAAACTTTTATAAATTAATTAATAATTTTATTTTTTATTATTTGCTGTAAAAAGATACCTTGAATTAATACTGTATGTATTTTTGCGCAATTGTTATTAATATGTATTTGTATTTTTAAGTTTATTATAAATTATAAAACTTAATTATTTTGTTTTATTTTAGAATTTTATTTTAGTTTATAAATAATATTTACTATTCTTAGTACTGCTCTTTGATATTATTTAATAAATTGATTTTAAAAAATTGATTTATAATAAATAATATAAAAGTAGAAAATGTAAAGTAAGGGTATATACTGTATATATAAGTACCTCAGCCCTAAGTTTTTTGATTTCAATGGTAAGTTCTTCACATTGTTGAGTGTATTGCCATTTAGCAGTCTTTTCGCTTTCGACGATCTGAACCAAATGCAAGTGCTTTTGTTCCAACTCTTCTTTTTGAAGCAAAGTTTTGCTGAAACTAAACCATCAAATAAATTGTATTAAATCTTATGGTAGTTATGAATAATGTCGTCAAATAGCAATGTGTTTGGGTGTCAACCCATTTAATTGAGAAAATATGTTTTGCCGCCAATGAATATAATTTATTATTAAGTTATGCTTCTCTAAGAATAAATGTCTGACATTTTCTAAAACCATATAATAATATTATATATATAAACCATTTTAATCTTTAGATTTTATATAAAATATTATTGATTATTTACATATATATTATATAAGTTATACTATGAAATAAATGTTGTGTGTTTTATGTAATATAAGTGATTATCGTTGAATAATATGTGTTTTAGTACATCAAATCATACAAACCTTGCGTTATCAATGGCGTGAACCCATGCATTGCATTCACTTTCAGTTTCAGCCTTGAGCTCATAGGTTTTGGACCCCTCTTTACGATAGGTTATGGTAAAGAAGTTCTGAAATAATCAAATAAATTACAATTTTTACATAATATCTATCAAATGTTTTTTATATTATTCCATTTTTTAAATTTTTAATAGCTATTTAAAAATATCACATATTTATAATATTAAAAATATTATAAATTATAATAAAAATAAAGTCAAAATATTGATAAAATATGTTTGTATTTGATTTGAAAAGGAATTGTTATATATATTGAGTTAATGGAGTGCTTTGGGCAGTCATTCATCCAAATTTCAACTTAAAAGACGTGAAACACTACTAACAAATAATCCATAGTTTTATTATATATAATATAAAAAATATCGTCTCACTAACAATAAATAGATAGTGTATAGAAATACAGTATATATAGTACAGTATATCCATCTTTTCAAACAACTATATCTATGTGTGTATGTGTGGATCAAAAATAAAATATAATGCAATATATTTTATGTAATTTTTGATTATATATCATGAAATAATAATAATAATAAAAATTGCTAATATTGTTATATAGTAAAAAGTCTATCTTTTCTATTGAATAGATTGAATGCATAGCAATGTAAAACATAGAAAACTTGACGACTATGAGAGTAATAGAGTTATCGATCGATAGCATACCTTTGCTACCAAACACTAACCTATAATATTGTAGTGTATATACAAACACAACACTCATATACTATATATATATATATATATATATATATATATATATATATATATATATATATAGAATAACTGATATAAGATGTGCTTCTTTACAGTTGAATAAATTTGTTTGAATTGTAAGACCAGATCCGCAACAAGTAGTCCACAAACTTACCATTTCTTCATTTGAAAACCATTGCGCAATACATCTTCTCTATAGATATCAACAATTATCGCTTACATTAATGTATTCAACATTTGGTTCATTCAATTATTTATACAGTAGTTATAATACTTAGATTACTATAATTTAATATCATAAGCATTGTATACATACATACTGTACACATAAACAAAATTTTAAATTTATATAACACTCCATATACTGTTATTACCATAAACTCATCATAAAATTATTATATTTATTAGAAAATATTCAAAACGCAAAAAAATATAATTGAGAATAACTCTCAATTGAAATTTTATCTATAAAAATATCATAATATTACTGAATATAATATATTAATATTATTTTTGTAACGTATATAAAGTAAGCATACGGTATGTGAAGTGCTTTAAAATTCAATTTTTCTTTTGGTTATAATTTATTCTATAAAATATTTTGTTGTCATTTATAACGACTAAATATGTTTACCAAAAAAATATGCATAACATGTAGTTTAACATTAATTTTTATAAAAGTTTATACATAATTTTAAAACAATAACATTGCTATCTGAGACTTATTGATGTATAGTTTGTATGGTTTGGGTTACATTGATGTATAACAAAACCACCTGAGACAATATATAAACAATTGCATAATTATTTTGAAATAGATTATATCCAGGGTTAAGCAAGGTTTTGGATTTTAGGAGGGGTAAAGAGTGGGGTGAAATGGAAAAAATCTCAAAAAAATCTTGATGTTGTATACGGTGGGGATTTACATTTTTATTTTATTTTAAACAATTTTTTTCAAAATTTCGAAATTCATTGAGCCAAGAAAAAATAAAAAAAATATATATATTATTATAAAAAAACATTATTATTGAGAATAGATATAATTATCGTCATTTTATTTATAATAAAATAATATTCTACTTCTAACTTAATTACTTTATTAGAAAAATAAATAATTTTTGAGTTTATAATTACATAATTTAATAAAATAATACTATATTTGGCTTAATTTTAACGTAATTTAAGTTATTTTACTAATTTTTTTATCAAATAATTATTATAATTCTTTATTTATATTCATGTCTGGGTCATTTTCTTATCGTTAAGTTTTAATACTTAATTGAGTGACAATTTTTTATTTTGGTCTTTTGGGGGTAAGCCGGCCTTACCCTCCCCCAGCACTTAAACCTGATATATATATATAATGTTATACATTTACTGGTATAGCTATGTTTATTTTGCTAACTCATTATAATGTACTTAATGAAAATGATTATTAATATTGTATTTTTATTTTTATTTTAATAATAAATGAATTTTGATAACACTATTCAAATAAGTTGTCCACAAAAATGAATTTTTCTTTAATAAAATACAATTAATTTTGTGGACTAAATGTTGTTATGCAAAGAATTTGTGGCTCAGATTTGTTGCCATTAGATAACTATTTATTGATTGTTGTCTTCAGTGGTCTGTTTGCTGACATTCACTAAATCTAACGGATATTCAGAGAAAAGTCATGTATTTATTGTTAATATAAATTCAAACGAATGACAAACACAATCAATATTGAGTTTAGGTTGAGTTAGCCCACACTTAGATGATTATACTTATTAACATTTGTTGTATGATATACTCCTATACTGTAGTATGAAATTGTGATACTAATAATAAATAATAAAAATTGTTAACAACACACAAATACACAAATATTTGCTTACAGTATATGAAAAACAAATATAGTAATTGCTATATAATAATGTTTGTAACAATTTTCATACTTAAATCAAATTAATTGAAATTATTATTGATTCGGACATATAATCAAATAAATGCCTCAAATGACTAACAAATTATACAATATATTTAAGTATTATATTTTCAACCATTTTAATAATTATGTGTAAAAGTATTTCGCAAATATTTTAATAATGTTATCCAAATTATTAATATAAATACATAATATGTATAGTTTATGAATATAAGTTTTATTATATAACCCTATATTAAGCTTATTAAATGGTTAAAGAAATTATTAGCCATTGTATAGTAATTCACAATTTACTATATTTATATAATATATAATATTATTAATGTTATTAAAATGTTAAATTAATTTGTACTTTATATTAACATTTAAAATATAATTTTTTTCATGAAATTCTGATTAAATTTCATAATAAATTTAAAGTAATAAAAATAGTAGAAAATGTACGCTATTTACTAAAACCTAAATGTTATATATATTTCTATATGTATTAGCAGTAACTGGAAGTTAATGTAAGAGTAATATTGTGTAATGCATTCAATCAAATACTAAACGCTTGAATACAAAATATATTTCAATATTTCAATGAAGAGAATCACAGATATGTATGCGTTTCCATAACAACAAACTCTATGAGCTCTATATATACAGTATATGTTATATAACTATGAGATCAATACCTGCAGACAAATAGAGACATTTGCCGTATATTTCTATGTATTGCTATTACATTGCATTCAGTGAATCAACGCTACAATAATCGCTATTTTAAAGCTTTATCTCAAATACTGTATATATAATTGTATACAACTCTATGTATAAAAGTATTCATCAAATTTTATAATTCAATATTGAAAACATTTTTAAATATTAAATACTATCATATTTATCATGTTTTATGTTGTTTCAAATCATTTATATTATCAATTTAAGTTTAATATTTATATCATATTTATCATAAAACTATTTTTTATTATTATATATTTATAATTCATGTGATAATATGCTTTAGTTATGATGCCGTGATAATAATAATGATAATAATAATATCTTATTAAACAAAAATACTGTACATTATATTAATACTCTATGTTTTTTGTTAATATAATTTTTATGCAGTATTTATCTATTATATTATAAAGGTATAAACAATAATATTATTTACTATTAATTTTTGCATATCACTTGTTAAATCTACTTATCAGTAAATTGTTAAATAAAAATTAATTATCAATATATACAGTTAAACTAAAACGATCAAAATTGTGTTATTAATAAAAATATCATAATTTACAGTACATACAAAACATAACACATAATGTATGTCAATGCATATACTGTAATATTTTTATTAATTATTCTAATTTTTGTAAGGAAATAAAATACAAAGTTTTTTTTAACAATTAATTTAAAAACTAAACTATTTTTTAATTTTATAATAATGTTTTGTTTAAAAAATCGTTACATTTATTTTATATTGAAACATATAAAAAAATTGGGAAATTAAACATATCATCTTACGATTACATTGTTAATAATGTTAAGTTTTCGTCGATATAATAATTATATAAAAACCAGGAATTTCGAAATATTAGTTCTTTACTAATGATATAAAAATATAACAAAATATAAAACAATGTTGAGATTGTTTGGCAAAAATGTATTATTTCAATGCTTTTCAATGTCTTATTGTTAATGACATGAATTGAGACAAAAAGTTTTGAAACAACTGATAATATGATAAGTGATAGTCATTTAAAACCAAACAACAAACTAAATTGTCAATTGAAGAGTAATTCTTTGTATTTTATTTATTAGATATAAAAACTAGAATTTTCTAAAAGCTTGTATTGTTTTTATTTCTTCTAAAATTTGTTATAAAAATGTCTACATTTTATTTAACTAAAATTATCAATAAGATATAAATATTTTAATTATATTAAATTATCAAATCATATAAAACTTAAATTTCACTTTAACAATAATAATAATAATAATAATAATAATTAATTTGGTTAATTAATAGTAATAAAGTATATAAAAGATATGTAACTAAAACATTACCGGTACTACTGTTTACTCTTTCTTTTATTGAAAATTTCAATTCACTTGTATAATAATATTTTATTACATATTATTTTGATTAATTTACAAAATAAAAACTGTTTGATATTATTGAAATTATTTATTTAAAATTATTGAATACATATTTAAAGCACAAACTTGATTCTAATTATTTTTTTTATTTATAAATTAGATTTTATTTTATTAATTTTCAATTCAGATATCATGTTTTAATATGTCGCATAATAAATACATATATATGGTAATCCATATATACGGTTTAATATATCATATAAACTCGCAATTTATAAATTTAGAGGAATATTGAGCCAATTAAAAATGTTT